GCCACAAATCCTATTGCAACTACACATGAGATAATGCAAATGTAATCTCACAGCATCTAGAAGGATAAAGAAAGCTGCCAAGGAGCTTAATGCCAAAATGGACACACCTATCTAAAGAATTATTCAGCTGAATGCTACAGATTTATCGTGAATTGTATTCCAGCCTTGTATTGGTTCAATAGTAGCAGTTATTGGAGGGATAATGATAGCACAAAAATTTCTGTTAGGACTGTTACAATCAGAGAAGGCACCGTCTTCTTTGTTTTTGCATTTTCTGCACTATTTGTAAATCCAGACTCTGTTTTTAAAATATTTTTTATCACTGCGAAAGGACAAGGATTGGAAGAATCTAGCAGCTATCCTTCTGTGGTTTTGTATATATATGTACAGAATTATAGTTAAACAAGCACTGAAGATGAGACATTGAACTTTTTATAGCAAATGATTGGTGGAATTGACACGTTTATGGACAGCTTCAAAAAGAACCAAAACAAAAACAAAAAACAAACCAAAAAAACCTGGCTGGATTTGGCTCTGGGCAGCCTGGTCTGGTGGTTGGCAACTCTGCCCACGACAGGGGGATTGAAACTAGATGGTCATTATGGTCCTTTTCAACCCAGGCCATTCTATGATTCATTCTATGGTTCTATGAATGTGGACAGCCTTCCTTCCCTTCATCCCCAGGGCTCTGTAACTTCAGTGTGACTGACTAGACTAAAGAGTCTGGGCTGAGAATTGAAGGTTGTCCACAATGAAAGGCAAGGAAGCTTGCTAGCAGGCAGCATTGAAGCCAAACATTATGTATGGAATATGACTTAGGAATCTGAGACAGATGTTTTTTGATTGAGTCTTCCCCAGTGGCCACTAGTACTGCTGTGCTGCCCAGCAGGCTTAGAGGCTGCCCTTCTGACTGATCAGGTGCCTCAGTTACTGCCTCTGGTGAAAGAAGCAAGGCAGTGGGTAGATGTTGGTCATCATTAGACATCCCCTTCAGGGTAGTGGTAGGTGGGAAGAAACTACCCATGAGCTTCAGTGAGATCATATTGGTACCCCTGAGCATCTGTAGGAGTGGTTGCCTTCTTGAATGAACAGCTTGTGAGATACCTGAGCTTCTGAAGTGATCAGCCATGGGAAACCCCAGCCAATTTACATCAGAGGGAGTGAGCAGAATGCGATCATTGGACTTGGCATGAGTGTACCATAAATCCAGCATAGAGTTACTATGGGGCTGGAGTGGGTCTGCTTTTGATGTATGAGGAACTGGATAGCTACAGCTGGGAGAGCTCCCAGTGGAAGACCCTCTTTCAGTAAATGGAGCGGAGGTGCCAAGTCATGCACATTAGTTTAAGTGACTGCAGAACAGTACATCCCTCTGGACCCATGGTGGTTTCCCCAGGCTGAGGTGGTGGAACCAGCAGCGCAGACAGTTTTGCAGTGCACAGGTTGTTCTGCAGAAAAGTATCTTGGACTGAATGACCTCATAAAATGCGTGTTGTGACAGTCCTATTGAGCAAGACATCCATTTAATGCAGGATTCCAGTGACTTGTCAGTTACTGGGCTGCTCCCATGAGGATGACACGTAAGAGTAAGTGGACTGTGACTGTACCAGGAAATTCAGAGCCTCAGTTTCATTTTTATGAGTCCCTGAGAGTGGAAGTTGCTAGCAGGACAGTGAGTTATATCTGTGGGGAGCATCTAGCTTACCAACTATTCACAGAGAATATGTGCTTTTGCAGGCTTTTTCAGACCAGGTCATAACTACATTGCAGCAATGTCAATATTTAACTGCACTTGATCCTTGAATGCAGCAGAAGATGCTGGGATCTCAACTTTTCTACCTGATCTCTGGATAAGTCTTTACTGTGACCCGCAGCAGAATTGAACACTCCAATAATGCCAGCACTAGTTCCCAGCTTGCACAGTACACAACGCTGACATTAATTGCCTTTGAATAAACACGTGCTTCTGTTGAATTAGTGCACATGATATAGGGTGTATGCCAGATTTCTGCTTTTACATGGGTCTCATTGCCAGCCCCAGGATGACAGGAGATACCCAAGCCAGTAGACCATGAGGAACTTGACCAGAAAGTCTCTTCAGTACTTTCTGGACAAACCATGCAAGTTTATACATGTGGTTGAAGTCATTGAGAAATGTTTCCTTGAGTTCTGCAGACACAAGAGGAATAGTGGATAGAAATACATCTGCCAAGGAATGTGCCAGGCAGGTGACAGCATCTTCTTCAATGAATTTGGACAGAGTAGGGTGTACAAACCTCAGCACAACTGTCCTTCCATTCTGGTCCTCTGTAGGGCTGAACCATGCTACCATGAGGCCACAAATCCGAACCCAGCTCAAATCAAATATGACAGCTACCCAGTGGGGAAAAATACGTCAGCCTCCTAAACTCTGATTTTACCTAGAATCCTATAAGACTTGCATGTGCTCTTATTTACAGGTGGCAACTGTTCAGTCAGATGATAACACACAAGAACATTGTTTAAACTTCTGTTTTACTGTGGTTATCTTGGGGTTTCCAGTTACAGAGAATTCAATAGAAAAACAATTTCCTGTGCTGTACCCGGAGCACTGCGGTGACACTATGGTGGCATCTGGTGATGCAAACTCCCATTCTCATGGCTCCCAGTAAGCTCAGAGTGTGGTGAAGATTTTGTGGTCCATTCCTGTTCAGCCTCTTTTCCTCCTTGGTTCTGAGGTCACAGCGCTTGTGTGTCATGTTCCCATTTGAGTTTGGTGCCATGTATTGTTGCTTCTTCTTCAAGCACTGCCTTATAATCAGTTTTTTTCTAGCCAGTGACCTTTACCTCAGGCCTCATCTTGCATCAGGACTCCACGTGCAGGCTATCACCCCAGCTCCCCCTTGGGAGCAGCCATGTCACTGGGCCAGTTGTGACTGCAGCCATCAGTGCAGCCTCTCTGAACCCTCAGTCTAAGGCTTGCACAAGCACACAGCATTCCTCTGGGAAAGGTGAGCAGTGCAGAGGAAGCAGGCTGCTGTCCACCTACCTCCACCAGGTGAACTCAGACACTGTGCCACAGGCTGTGCAGCAGCAGACAGGGAGATCCTGAATGCTTTCTGGGATGGCAGCTCCCTTGCCACAGACCAGTTGTTTTTTCCCACCATCCTCATCTCCTCACAGACTTTCCCATTTGAGCCTAACCTGCCATCCCCGGTTCTGCTGGTTTTTGCAGTTATTTGGTATCTGTGGTATGGTAGCCTCTGTGTTTTGTGCCTGGGTCAGCAACTCCTTTGAGCTGCTAACTCCCTGCTGAAATACTAGCAGCTATGTGGGCCCAGCATGGATTGGTGCTGTGTGCAGCTGGGTATTTAGAAGTTGAGTGGTTGGGATGGTGCCAGAAGCTATGCTGCTGATGCTTATGTGGAGATGACATGGCAACACTGCTGTTTTATGTATTAAACAAAACTGAAGTTGACCTCGTCTACTTCACCTCAGCTACGGGAAGAAAAAATAGCGTATGAAAATACTAAACTACTGAACTAAAAATACTGTATGAAATAATCCTCTAAATAATCTTTTAATGAAGCTCAAGTCTGGATGAGCCTCCAAAATCTCAGTTTCAAGGATCTGACAGTTAATCCAGTAAAAGCCTGTTTGCTGAAGCTGGTCCTTGCCATCTCCTCAGCTCAGTGCAGAGGCCCAAATAGGTGGGGCCAAGAATGCCAGCTGCCCCACAGAGCTCTTGTAGGCATCTCTGCAGGGACACAGCAGCTGTTGGTACTGCCTTGTAGGGGTCCCCTCCCTGCTTCCCAGCATGAAGCTGGGCTACCTACCACCCCTTGTTTGGTCTTGGTAGTTTCCTGTATCACTTTGTTGCCCCAGACTCACACTGCATTATTTTGTCTAGTCCAGCTCCCAAAGACACAGGTGACAAACTTTGCACCCAGTCATTGCATGGTTTGTTTCACAGGAAAATGGATGTGAATGCTGCAACTTCTGAGAAATACTGGGCTTGAACTGGCCTTTGTTTCAGCTCATCTGCTTGCTCAGAATTTCAGGATCTCAATAGCTGTTCCCTTTCTGCCTTGATTTTCAAATGTTTGTTGAATCAGTCCTGCTGTGGGTCTTCACATCATCTATTTACATATTTGTGCTTTTTTTTTTTTAAATTATTCTTAAATGCTCAGAAGCATTAACCAAAGAAGGTGAAATATAGTAATTTAGTGTAGTAAATGTAATGACATTTCAAAGCAAATGAGCCTTAAAACAACTGAAAGTAATTAAAATAACCTGTGGTAGGTTCATATGTACAAAAAATGCCCATTTTGGGTAGTGTGCTAGGTGATGGAGCATGAACAGTGAGGGTGTATGCACAGTTAAACAGCCAGATGGAAGTGGCTTTGTCCTTCCTATTATTAAAGCATGCTCATCAAATAGAAGGTAAGAACCCAGACATACAGGATTCCTTCTGGTTTGTGTTGTGAAGTGAGAACAAAGGACACAGTGTTATAGCAGAGATAAACTACAAAACCAGTCAACTATAAATAGACTGTTAGCACTGTGAGCTTCCAAAAACAACAAGATGGAGATTAGAGGAAGGCGTTGAAGAATTATGGGTTCACATCCAAAAACCAACAACAAGCAAACGAACCAACCATCCAAACGCAAAAAAAAAAACACCCAACAACAACAACAACAACAAAAAAACCACCACAAGCAAAACTGATCTCATTTCCCCACGTTTTCCAGGCAGGACTTGAGGCAAGTATAGCCTGAGAAAGAAGGCAAGTAGTAATTCACAGCTGCCTGATAACAGTGGTACTTTCTTTTTTTTTTTTTTTTTTTTGGTGGGGGGGGAGGCTTTCATTCTTATCTCTAGAAATATTCTTGCTTGTTGCACTATATGAGGTAACCCTTGTTTAACTCAGGCTTCCTTATCTTGTGACCAAAAAAATTCAGTTATTTAAAGTTATTAGCAAGGTTCTTCCAAGCATACTCTGAAATTACAGGATATTTACCTGAACAGAAAGATAGTGCAGCTCCTCTACTGGTCTCCAGTGCTTAGAGAGATGCAGATGTTTGCTGTTTCCTGAGTAGCATTAAAGTCAGTGAGGCACAGACCCTCCTTATCAGAGGGGTATCTGAATGCCTAGAACCTCATGCTCTCCAGAAGATGACAGGTGCAGCGTACAGCTGTTGTGGTGCAGCCAGCCATCCAGGCCTTGGAGTGTACTGTTTCTCAACAGCCCTTGGTACCTGAATTCCCACTCTCTGCACTGAGGCAGCAGAATGTGAGGATGGTCTTTGGCTGTAAGTTAGAGGATGTCTTCCTGCTCTGCTCTAACCTTTTTGCTTATACATGCTCAAAATAAATATAAATATGGTCCATAAACATGGGCTATCTCAGTTGTGCTCACTGCTCTCTCCCTCTCCTGTGTGTGCCTCTTTGTTCCTTTTTTGCTTTTCCCTTCATGCTTTGTTTTTTCTTTCTCACTTGGACTTTCCCATTTCTCCCTGTATCTCTGTCTTTCTCTGCTATTTCAGCTGCTGTGCTTGTGATGAGTACAGATCCCCCTGGTTGTAGTGCTCTATAGTTCCTAGAACTACACTTATGTCTATTTGTTCTTGGAACCAGATAGTAAAAATAGTCTAACAGCCATGGAAATAGTGAGGGAGATGAGTACATGTATTGTACATTGCTTTCATGGATTGCCAAAAGGTGGAAACCCCGTTGCTTGAAATTGACTTTTCCCATGTCTCAAAGCTAGCCTGCAGCTAACTAAGTTGATCTTGGAGGCCTGGGAAAGGACATGCTCCACTGAGTAGAGTTGCACCTCTTGGACAGAGAGAGAAAATCTGAAAGAAAAATAATTGAGAGAGAAAAGATGAAAATGGGTAGTGAGGAAAAAGAAAGCTTGATAAAGTGTAAGGAAAAAAAGCCAAAAAAACCCAAACCAGACAAAAGAGCTGTCAGAGAAAATGCTGCATGTAATCTAGTATCCTGACTTGGAATGAGATTGTACACGTGTGGGAGAGGGGGGCACAAACTTCTATAACTGTCCCCCAAAGGAGATCTTACTCTGATCTCAAGGAATCCACAATTTTATCTCCAAGATTGAAGTCTTGTATTTTTTCCATCCTGGTTTCTTAATGAGATGTATGAACGAGATGTTAACAAGAGGTCTGTGAACATGCAGTATTTATGGGGCTGCAGTTAAGGTTCTTCGCTTCAACATGGAGAAGCAATGATTTCGGCACAGAACCACTGCAGCTGGCTTTCAGTGGGGGTGAAGCAACTGGAGAGGAATTAAGAATGACTCTCTGATCTTCTGCTTTGAACTGAGCTTTGCCATTAAGATACTGCAATTTGAGCTACTACTACCAATTTCATCACCATGGACTCTGCTGTGAAGCCACCAGGTAGTGGAGGAACAGACAATCCCCAAATGCTGCAGTCCAGCAGAAGGGCTGCCCCTTTTCCTGGCATGGAGGGCTGAAGAAAAGACTGGTGTGGGCAGTCTTCTTGCCCTAGGATGGGGTGATACCGATGTGTTTACACTCCTGTTGCTTTAGGCTACCTCATCTATAGCAGATTTGTATGGGAGACGAACATTTGGGAGTATGAAGCAGCATCATCAAGTTGAATAATGAGCAGGGTGGATGATGGCTGCCCGAACACACCCCAAGGCCCTCTTTTATTTGGCTTTCTACAGCACATGTTTTTCTGTACAATTTAGTCACAGAAACGATGCTATAATCTATGATTGTGTCCTAAAGTGTCTGTGTATTCAGTGATGTCACTGCTATGTTGCTTATGTTGTCCCAGAGGATACCAAGGTTTTTAAGTTTCTCTGAGGCACTGGTAAGTTATCTGGAGCGTTATGCTAAAACTGGAACTTCCTAGGATTAGACCAGAGTAGGTATTGATCCAAGTCTCTCATGCTGTCACCCAGACATATATAAGTCGTACTGTTTGAGCCATAAGTAGGCAGGAAGTGTATGTCTTCTCTACACTACATAGTTTTCATTCTGTTTCTGAAATAGCTGTGACATTTAGGGGCCTAAAGACAGCTCCAAACAAAGATTCTTGTGTTTGTATTTTAGCTGTACTTCCATATCTCTTTCTCCTCTGCTTCCCTTTCATCACTGCTTCTGCCTCTGCTCTTTCCCTGGCTTGCTGCCTTCCCACCTTCCCCCTCCTTCTTTTTTTGTTCACTACTCCACGTCTATTTTTTTCTGCTTCTATCATCTTCACCAGTCAACATCTTCCTCGGCTATGTATTCCCTTGCATATCTCTCAATATCAAAGAGCACTGTTTATTTTATTATATGCAGAGGACAAAATGCTTGAAATGCTAATTTGACCCCAAGATCTGTCCACAAAGAAGAGTTGAAGGCATTCTCTAAAGAGGATGCAGTTGCAGGCTTTGTATACAAACCCATCATCTTCTTGATCTCAAATATGTTCAGTTTTTGCAGTTCATGAAATTGAAGTTCCAGGAAAGCCTTGGAAAAAATGGGAATTGCTTTACTTGTAGAGTAACATTAATGCTCATTCCCATGAATCTCTCACTGGGATGTTTTAGATTTCTTTCACAAACTGTAGCCTAGCAGAACATTGATATGATATAGTGGCAAATATTGATAATTCAGTTTTGGACCAAGGAATGAAAACAAGTATGAATGCTATGGAGGTCAGGTCACCTTGACATTGTCTATGCCAGACAATTGAATTGACTTTACTGAATGAATCATTATGTCTATGACCAACAATTACAGTAATATCAGGAACGTTCCCAGATTTCTGCTGCTGGGACTTTGAACTGATCTCTCCCAACTGCCAGCTTTTCTTTCAGATTCTGGTGCACATTCTGTGCACAGTGGGAGCATAATGGATGAGATCAATGAAATTTTGTCAACCAGCTGCTAGACCATGCTTACTTTAGGAAAAGAAAGTAGTTCCTGAGGAAATGCTCAAATATTGCTCAGATATCACATCAGACATACATCAGCTCCATTGATTAACTTAGAGGTGGAAATGGATGGCTTCTTAAACAGGTGAAATGCTGACCAGGGATATATTGTTATATGGTGTACAGGAGACCACTTGTGGTTCAGAACTGAGCTAACACTCAACATGAAAGTCACATTTCTTACTAGGGAAAGGCTTGAGAAGAAGCCAGTGTTTCACACACTCAAGCAGAGCTGTGAGAGCACTGCACATCAGTGCACTGTGAGATCCTGCATCAAGCTCTGTCCCTGTTGGTTTAACTTAGAGGTGGTCCTACAGAGAAATTTCCCTGGTCATGGCAGCTGTCAGAATCTTCCATCTAATCTTTGGCACCCCAGTGTGATCAACCCTTGCTCAGCCCCACTGGTATGAAACAGTTTCTTGTGTTCAAAGCCAGCCATCAGACTCTGCTATTCTTCCTTAGGCACAGACCTGGACACAAAGGTCACCTCTAAGCTTAATTATTACAAAACAATTTAACTGGCAGACAAATGAAATTTCCTCAAAAGCATCTCTTGATACAAGCACAGTAGCTCTTCTACCTACAGCAATCATCTTTGCCAAGCTCACAGTACAGCCTGGTTTCACATCTGGTATAAAACCCATGTCAGATAGACTGTATAGTGATCAGAGTCTTCCTTAGTTTGCAACTAACTGTTTTAGAAACTGTAGTTCTACCCAAAACCATAGCTGTAAGTGACAGTAGATAAGGGATTGCTGGAGATATGCTTCAAAGGTGCTGGCTCTGTGGTCCCTCCTGCAAAGGGAGAGTGGGGCTGTAGACCTTATAATCCAAATAAAGTGCAGAATGTGTATTGTTGCCTCTGATCTGACTGAGAGTTCTATATGAGTTGTGCCCATGTGCCCATGAAATGAAGCCCAGCTCTGGCTCTCCCTTCCCTTCTCACACTCAAAAATCCAGCAGAAACGATTTGTTTTTGATAAGCAGAAAGGGAAAGTGGTCATTTTGCATTTTACTTATGGGGAAGATTTTGTGGAAAAAAAATGAACAAGGACATATAAAAGTCTTTTATAAATAGATGGAGCCAACTTTAAACAAAATCCTGGATTTTGGACTGGAACAGTTAGAGAGCCTTCTTTTAATTATGCTATGGAAAGGAAAGACTTCCAAATTAAATCTGTACAAGTGATGAAGTAGCGCTCTGGACAAGTAATAAACCATTACTGCAGTACTCACTTCTGTTTGCTGAAGAAAGACTTCACAGTTCTCTCTGAGGCAACTTTCTCTCCTGCTGAGTGGCTGCATCACTCACTGCTGCATTCTGCAGCAGCCTCTGCTCTTTCCGATTAACTCACCGCTTTGCCCTTGCACCTACATATTTACATCAGCATTAGTGCCTCACTCACCCCTAAGGAGTTAACTGCTTTTATTACTCGATCTGCTTGACATTCAGGATGAATAGGAAACGGCTCGCCCCTCCTCTCCGACAGTATTTTCGTGCTCTTTAAATCTCTGTGCCCCGGGCTGCCTGCAGCCTGGCACACTGCATGTCGCCGGAGGGTCATGCACGGGGGCACCCGTGGGACATGAGCACAGAGCTGCTGCAAAGCGGAAGCCCTGCGGGCACATTGAGAGGGCAAGCTGCCTCGCACCATGCCCTCCTTCGATGAGGTGTTGAAGGAAGCCGGGGAATTTGGAAGATTTCAGAAAAGGGTCTTTTTCCTCCTTTGTCAGACAGGCATCACTTTTTCATTCCTATTTGCCAGCGTGGTTTTCCTTGGGCAGGTGCCGGACAACTATTGGTGCCGGATACCTGGGGCGGCTGATTTAAGTGAAAAGTGCGGCTGGACGCTGGAAGAGGAGCGAAACTTCACAGTGCTGCCCCTGCTGCTGCTGGTGAATGGCTCCTCCGGTGGGCGCTGCGAGCGTCTGGATGTGACCTGGGATGCGGCTGCCGGCTGTGCCAGCCCCCTCAGCCACCGCCTCGATGGTAGAGTGGGCAGCCCACCACTCGCCACCTGCCAGGACTCCTGGGTGTACCAACAGCCCCACGCCTCCATTGTCAGCGAGGTAAGGAAAGGCTCTGTCTCCACCTCAGCGCTTCCCGCGCAGGGTGGGATTGCAGTAGGAGGACCTAAGGATGAGTCACTTCTTCAGGCACTGATTTTCCTTACTGGGTTGGCTTTGGTCCCACCAACGGATCAGGACAAAGAGTGAGATCAGGTGTCAGTGTCAAACTTCCAGGGAAAGGTGAGCTGAGCTGGATGGTGCCTCCTCTTACTGCTCTCTTTTGCTGGAGGGATTTGATGTTAAAACAAAGTGATACCCTTGTGGCTGGGGCTGCCTGTGACCAGGTTGGTCCAGCAGCATGTGTTCTCCACGTCTCCAGTGATGAATGCTGAGCTCTGCAGGTAGCAGTGAAAACTGGCAGCTGGCTCCCTTCTGAGATCCAATGGGAATCAGCTGAGACTGTTGTGTATACTAAAGAAAAAAGCAACACATCCATGCTCAAAGCTATCATTTAGCTTCTCTTGAAATGTCAGAGTGCCACCAAGTACCTGTTACCACTGCTGGTAAGCACATGTAGGTACGGTGACATTCGTGAGGCTGTTAAAAGCCACGTGCAATGCTGTCCTAGAAAATCCTCTGTGCAGTCTGTAATAGTGAAGTAAGTGTACAGTAGACCTCTCCAATTGTGTCACCAATGCAGTGATGAAAAATTACTAGTGTGCTTCGGGAAGTGAGCAGGAAATAATCAAGGTGCAGTGCAAAACATGGCAACATAGCTGCTGGCTGTAGTTCCTGCCTGATTCACCAGCTTTGACTGTGCTGGAGCTGTGCCCCTGAATTGCAGAGTAGGGTACAGCAAGTGAAGCCTTGAGCAAACATGAGGCAGAAAGTGGTGCCCACCTCAACCTTTCAACTTGCTACTCTGCCAGTCCAGCTGAGACACTGCTGCTCACAGTTCTCAGGGTCTTCAGAGTAAAGTTTTGTGCCCTGAACACTGGTTTTTGTGTGCCACCACCAAAATTAGGCTGCAAGTGACAGGTGGGAGCTGGTGTCTAAACCTGGCCTTGGCTGGTGGTAATAGCGACAGGAAGGTGAACGCTGCTGGGCTGTGGCAGGGAGGCTGTGCTGCTGGTGTGAGGCATGCTGCTGGTGTCAGGACAAGTGTAGGTCCTGGTGTCTCCTACCTAGGAAGCCGTGCTCACCAGCTACCTGGTAGCTTAAGAGGAGAAAAAAAAAAAAAAAAGGAGATTGCTCCATCAGATTTGCTGTGGCATGTGAGTTGTGCCAACAGGACTGTGTTCAGAGGTTATTTATGGCCTTAACCCTTTCGATTTTCCAGATGCATTGAAACACTTGGCATGGCTTAGAGAAAACGAAACCAGTGTCTGTGCTGCCACTGTAAATGGGAGAGAAAGGTTGAATGTTCACTGGCAAACCCTGTGCACAGCTGCCTTTCCTGTGCCTTTCCTTTCCCCGTGCACTTTCCTGCCTTTGTCCTGGGGCACTGCCAGGGCTGTGTAGAGCAGGAGGGACGCGAGTTTGGGGAAGCACTCCTAATGTGCCAAGGGAACAAATTGAGAAAAACAGAAAGAAAGGGCTTGTGAGTAGCAGGGGGCAGAAATGCCTGTCCCTGCACAGGGACATCAGATCACACTAGCAGTGTCACCGCAGCTCCAGGGTGGTGGGACACCTCAGTGCTTGCGCTCTTCACAGTTTTGCAACATTTGCTGGACAACTCATAGCCCATGAGGCTCAGTTTCTTCATGTAGTAAGGAAACCTGTGACATGCATATCCCAGTTGAATAGCTGCTTTGAGATCAGCTATTAAAGGATCTTGATTTGAGATGATTTAAGTCCCAGTTTTAATTTAGTCTCCTTTTACTCATCTGAGGTGCTAACAAATAATGACTGAATTTAAGTAATCTGTAATCTGCTTAACCAGATCAATAAACACCTTCTCCTTTTCTCATGCATCTGCTATTAAATGCATCATTTTGTCTATGTATGTGCAGAAATTTTTTTGTTTCTTTCAACTACCTGAAGAATTCCGGTACCTTATATCTGCTCCTGTGTCTGCTGGGGAACAGAGCAGGGCTTTTGTCCTTCCACATTTGGGAAGAGCAAAATCTATTCAGAAATCATCATAGGAGCAGTGCTTAGCAAAGCCTGTCAGTATGGCTTAGTGACAGGTAAGAGAGCAATGCTAAGGGTTTTCTTTTAAAATCTTCTGATGTCCACAGGCCCTGAGAGGTGATCCACCCAGGTCATGGTGGAGTCATCCACTGGCACTGTGGTGCTTGAAGGAGACTTAAGCAAAGTGCACTCGGGATGATTTAAAGGTTTTGAGATACCAGCAAAGGCCTCACAATGTGAGAAACTTGGCTGAGATCCCTCTAATGTGGTAGTGTCTTTGATGATGGGTCTGAGTAGATATCTGAGCCAAGTATAATCTTCTCCCATTCAACTTGATGAAGTCTTGTGCAACTCCATGTATAAACGGGAGGCATAACTGTGTGTATCATGTCATGGTTTTGACTGGCATAGCCATAATTTTCTTTGTAGAGGTTGGTATGATGCTGTGTTTTGGATTTCTGATGAAAATAGTGATGATAATAATACACCAATGTTTTAGTTGTTGCTGAGCAGAGGTACACAGAGCCAAAGACTCTTTGTTTCTTTTGCTGCCCTGCCAGCGAGGAGCTGAGGGTACACAAAAAGCTGGGAAGAGACACAGCCAGATTTGGTGACCCAGGCTAACCAGAGGAATATCCTATGCTCAGCAGTAAAAGGTAAAGAAGGAGGATGTTTGGAGTGACTGGCATTTGTCTTACAGCTGCTACCTATGCTGAGTACTTAGGATGAAAGCGTAATGGTTTGCAAAGTACTAAATATTTTATTCAGGCATTTTGGTGATGATGACTTACTTCTTCAGGCATGCTCATGAATTACAGTCACACCTGTAGCTTGGATTGCCTGTCAAGGTGCATGAAAGCATGAGGAAAGTCTGGGTGCTCAGATAAACAGCTACATCACAGCTGGTATATTTCGGGCTTATTAGCAGCCTGGGTTGGCAAAAGTTCAGCAGAAGGGACTGATCCCAATCTGTCTTGCCTGCAGCAAGTCTCCATGACACAGATGATGTTGTTTAAGGACCTGGCAGCAATTTATAGTCAAAGTGTGAGGTCTGAGGTGGACAAATGATAATTCAGATGTATCCTGTTGCACCTGCTGTGAATAAATCTTTTTACTCCTCTGCTTGCCTCAGAAAATAAGTCAGCCAACATTTGCAGAACCTGTAAGTAGGCCAGAAATGTTTGTTTCAGTTTCTGCAGTCTCTTATCTCAGGGGATAATGCAGCAGTCCAGCTCTGGCTGGAGATAGCACAGCTGGTCTTTTTGCTCTCCCTCTCTGAAACAAGAAACAACACCCTTGAAGCACTGATCTAGTGTGATCATTGTTGCTGGCACAACAGTACATTGCCTTATTTCCACCATCACTCTGGGATTAATATTAAGCAGCGAAGGGAAGGTGGAAAAAAGCAGACGCGAGCTCAGACAGAAGTAATAGCTAAATTTCCTACAAAACTCGCCACTTTCCCTGTGTGAGAGGGGCTGGAGCTGTTCCTTGCTTTTACATCTGTGGGGCCATGTTTCCGTTGTCTCAGTTGAGCTAGCTGGTACTGGTTGAGGGTTTGGGCCTTGGTTTGTCATACTGTTTTTTGTACAGATGCTGTTTCTTAAGAGATTAGATGTTTCTCTGGGAGCAGAGTAGAGGCTGGCTCCATTTGTCCTGTTAGGTGCTCAGCTTGAAATAAGACATGGAAAATGACTGTGTTCTGTAGCACTCTTTCCGAATCTTTTACAAAAAGATTTTCTCCCTTTCCTCTGTGTGTGTTTGCAGGGCTTTCATTGTATTAAATATGTGTTGAAGATAGCACTTTGGCTGTCCAGAGGATGTAAGAGATGAGAGAAGAACTGCCCAACGGCAAATAAACAACTCCAATTTTCCTTTTGCAAATAAGCAGTAAATTGTCTTAAACTCTTTGTTGCTGTTTAGCCATTTGTATGGATGCCACTTAACACACATGTATATGTTTTAACCATGCTGTTGAAACTGAGCTGATGGATTACTGTAGGTCTCTTTCATCAAATGATGGGTGAAACTCCTCATTGGAACTTTACTGTGACAGGTAAAAAAGAACTTCCAAACTCCTGCACAAAAATGCAGTGCTTTGAGGAGCTTTTAATGAAATGTTGTCATTTAAAGCAGTGCATCTCTGCAGGTAGAGGTGTGCTGAAACATTTTGGGACTTGGTGCATAAAGCCTCCTTGTATGGGAGCTGCTGAGTCACAGCCTGAACCACTGATTGAGCACCTGGGGAAATGACCCGGTCAGTCCTGGGAGAACAGGTGAAGGCAATTCAGCAGTGTGACCAGAAGGGGTGAAGCCTGGCTGCACCTCCTTAGACCTCCTTTAAGGGCTGACTGCTCCTGGGGAAGGTGCTTTTTCTGGAGATCCCTTCTTGATGAAGCTTTCTCCTCCAAACTTAAAATCTTGTGATACAGGTGAGCAATCTTCATCCCTTCCTTCATAGCAACTTTCTATTGTGCTGGTCCTACTGTTGTTGCACCTCTGTTGTAACACCTTTCCCATCATATTGATCTGTCCAATTGTTACATCTCTCAAATACAAGGAATTACAAGTCTGCTGTTAGCCTTCATGTCCAGCTGAAATGGAAAAAGCTTGTCTCTTGCCAAGCCTATGAGGAAATATGAGGTTGCCACAAATTATGTTTTGTGATTCTAAGTCAAATAGGAGTGTTTATTCTGTTCTCATCTCAGCCAGTTCCCACTCCTTTTATGAGAACTTATTCTCTGATGATCTGCAGAGGTCCAGTGCAAAACCTCTTCCTTATCACAAAATGATCTAGCCAAGGTAGTTTGATGTTACTTTGGAGATCAGTGAAAAAGTGTACCAGTATTTCTCCTTCAGTCACACCAAGGGGCGATTCTGCCTTGCGATTTCATGTTAATGTTCTGGATGTTCCAGTTCTTAATGACTGGAAAGACATCCATCACTGGGATGTTCTTCTAAGCTGGACTTAGAACACCCACCTGCCTGTACTGCTAGGCCATCAGGGTAGGAGGGACTGATTTCCCCGCTCTAAGGATACTATGGAGGGGGATATCCTGAAGAAGATAGTTCCTATTGCTTGTCTCACCCTCAAATGCCGAAGGAGGACTGAACACAGCCCTGCTCACTCTGATGTCTCCCAAAAGTTTCTCTAGGATATTGTCCCAAATTTTGCAGCAGATGAGACATGCTGGTGCAGCCATGGAGTAGCACTTCTGAAAGGAAACCCCACACGGATCCTAGTTTGCTGAGGTCTGTATGGCACTCAGCAATGAGCCATCACTCTCGCATCTCTTCTGCAGATGTGAGCTATAGCTCTTCTTCCCTGGGAGTCCTAAACTTGAAAGTTCAGGAAAACAAAACATTAAAAAAAAACAACCAGTCAGTTGTGGTCTAGACAGATAGAGCTCTGGAGTTTTTGATTCTCAACATTACCAGTTTTCAAAAACATGCTAGATCACAGGAGGGGGTAGTTAGAATTTTTTTGTTTTGCTATGAAAAGAATGTGTACTGTCAATGAATGGGCTCTCCACTGATTTCGTTACAAGGATTCCTTGATGTCACCAGATGTATTAATGCAATTGCTCCTGGTTGGCAGATTTCTCAGTGTGGACCCTATCTGCCTGTGCATGGGCACAGCCTATGTGATGATGGCACAAACATCAGCTAGTGCCTGGAGGGGCACATGTCCTATCCTGGAGCAGTGAGGAGGCACCACTCCTTTCCTTTTTTTTGGAGGCTGCTAGACAGGTACATGAAGACGTTTTAGCAAGGAGGTGTCATACAGGAGTACTACTGGCTAAATGAAGTCACTGAAATCCTGGGTATATAGATGCAAATACTTTTCCAGTGATAAATAGGGGAATAACTATTAGGTAAAACTAAATGTCTGAAGGCAATTAAGTAAAAAGAAGACTTCTAGAAGACATGCAATTCTCTTATAACTGTTAAATTCTCCTTTAAAGATAGTTTGCAGATGAAAAGGAAGACATTTACAGGATAATAATTGCTAGCTGCTAGGTCAAGCTAAAAGAAAAGCTTCAAGAGTGCTTATCTGTACCAGAAGTTATGTAAATACATTAAAAATGAACAGGGCATGGGACTAATTCAGGTGTCTTCACTAATTTCTTCAGAAAGAACACAGTTTCCTAGAAGTTTTTTTTCCTGTTTGCAAGAATATTTAAAATATTTGACTATATTATTAGCCAGAGCTAGTTTCATCTGTGTTCTGTCTGTCATCTGAGAGTGATATTGAGATGAAAGACTGTTCTCCAGTAAATACGTTTTTCTCTGAATGTTTCTGCATGTGTTCTCCCACTCTTTTTAACTGCTTATTCACACTGCCTGTTTATAGCAAAGAGAGATCAAATTAATTAAAGATTAAATATATATTATTTGCAAAAGTATATATCAAAAATACATGGTTCTAGAACCAGGGCCTGGGTAGGGCATGGTGCTGCTCCACATGGCCACCCAAGGGCCCATTGCTGCTATGGGCCTTGCAGGTTTTTTACTTTGGGCAAGGTGATGGTGCTTGGTGGCTAGTTCACAGCTGGCATGTTGGAGCTCACTCTTCCCTGACTGTGGTGCTCCTAAGTTACTTTTGCATCTTTGGAAATTTCTCTCCGTGCTTCGAAGGTTGGCATGGCCTTCCTACGATCACAGCTCTGCAATGTATCAAGGGGTGTGGTGGGGCACTTTGGGAAGGAAATGACTGAAACAGGAGTAAGGGGGTCACCTCACTAGCGCGTTGTCATCTCAGGCACCTTGCTGAGCTACCTGTGCATGGTCAAGGGCAGGAGGCAGGCAGCGCCAAAGGAAAGTACCCTGGCTCTTAACTATGGACACCTCCCCTGGGATGGGTTGCATCTGCTCTGACAGTGCCCTGATGACTGATTCAGACAGCCAGCTTGCTACACTGGGGTGAGACAATCTTACTGTAAAGAGTGGGGATTTTGGTACCAAATGTCAACAAAGAGGTCATGTTTGCTTTCAGAGAACAGTTCTTCAGCCAGAGCTCCATGTGTGTCAGTAGCTGTACAATTGTAAACAGGTTTGAGGTCAATTATTCGCCCCTTCCTGGGAGAACTGGTATGTCAGCTAGGGAAAACAGTAATACCAATACAGCTTTTAAGTGTAGAAATCTTGGGCTTGGTCTCTGAAATCAACAACTGAATTCAAGGGAGAACTATTTTCTTAATGGATTTTGATGTCTGTGTAAGCATAATTTCATTCTGACATTGCTTTGACGGTTTTATTATGTGCATCTTTTAATTTTTTTTCTCACGCTGATTTTATGGGTGTTTCTGGCAGGGCAATAATGCTCTCCGTTTGTTTGCTATTCTTGTGTTCCCTATTTTCCCTATTCTCGCTTTGGCTGTTCTGGCTTATAAGGGGAATCCTCTCTCATGACCATCTTCTGAAGGAATAAGTATCAGAGGACTTTTTGATCTCTAACTCAGGCAATTCTGTGAGGGGCTCTTAAATCTCATCCTGAATTAACCTCTCTCTGCTAATCTATCAGCCTGATATTTCCTTCCAAGGTCTGAATCAGAAGGAGCTGAGCTGTTTGTGTGGTGGTAAGTATTCTTAACCCCTCACAGAAGAGACTATTCACTCTGCAGGCCATGAAGTCAACTTATCTGTTATTCCTGGGGACTGCTGGCAGAGCAGTGTGAGGACTTTGCCTTTCTTGGAGAATGACATATTCAGACTGACTCCACAGGCATTTGCTGGAAGGAGAATAAAGTGGTGTGAAGGCTCATGTGAAGTCACGTTGAGAGCTGGGGCACAGATGCAGGCTGAAGCTGGCTTTCTGCTTTGGGGTCCTGTGAGAGAGATTGCTGCATTGTACAAAAGCTCAGCTGAGCAGCAGCGTTCAGCTCCAGCCTAAACATATTGCCTATGCCTGAAGGCTCAGCTGGCCAGAGGAACCTTACCAAAGGACCTGCTGACCAGGTGTTGTGGTTTAACCCAGCAGATGGCTGTACACTACATAGCCCTTTTGCTCACTCCTACTCTTCCCTGTGAGATGGGGGAGAAAATGGCGGGGGAAAAAGAAGTAGACTCATGGGTTGAGATAAAACTGTTTACTAAGATAGAGAAAAGAAAAAGAGTTATACTTTATAATATATATATTATATATATATATATACGTGAATGTATGTAACAAGTGATGCACCATCAAAACCAACTGATTCCTGCATGTAAGTGAAACTCCAGTTCCAGAGATCTCCTTCCTCATCTTCTCACCTTTGTCCTTCCTGCTTATGTTGTTTCTGTACTGCTATGCTCTGGGGATGATGATAGTCTACCTAGGATGTTTACACTTCTTTCTTGTTCCCACAGTATAACCTTGTGTGTGGCCATGCCTGGATGTTGGATCTCTCACAGGCTATCCTCAACTTGGGCTTTCTGGCTGGTGCCTTTACCCTTGGCTATGCAGCAGACAGGTAAAGTGTTAGCGCTGCTGTCCTTCTATTTGTTTGGAGATGAAATAAGCTGTAGTGACTGCAGTAAGCACACATGACCAGTTTGGAAGTTTAGTGAACTTGGGGTAAACAACTTCAGTCTGGATTAACTAAACCTTGACTTCTTTTTTGGGGAGCAATCTTCAGGCAGTGATATTTCCTGATCATACTTGGACTTTAAAACCAAAATATTGGTTTCCAATGTTTTCTGTACACATCTGGACCCAGGAAGGGTAGAAGGATACAGAATGAAAAGGATGTATTCATAAGAGCTTTCTGGGCTAGTGATTACTGGAAAATATGTAAGGGAACCATTGAGGAAAGCAGCTACTTGAGGAGAAGAGGAGTGAGCACAGTAGGTAACTGTTCACATGCTGGACTCACATGTAGACCATCAAGATCATAACTCTGTACTGTTTTTAACTGTGCTAGGACTGGATGAATGTCGTAGAAAAGATGTGGCTGACAATCAGGCTTGGGCAGCAGCCCACTCTAGAGCAGGGAGCCCCCACTATTGCTACCTATTTTTTTCTTAAAGTGGAAGAAGGAGCCTGGCTTCTGCTTTGTGTTGGTAATTACTCATTGATAGGCAACCTATGCTTTGTCTACGAGCACCCCTGTTCGCTATTATCAGTTATCAAAGAAAAATAAAGGCAGAAATAAAGTATTTTATGAAGAAATATGCTCTGCCAGTGAAGTGGACAGCAAGCAGAAACACTTACAGAATTAACCGGAATGTAAACTCAGAAACCAAACTTTAACCTAGCGAACAAGAGTACTTTTAAGAAAAACTTGATCTTTTCAAGGGATATGGTACTAAAGAATATAGAAAAGAGGAAGAGATGTAATGGCACGGGCAACTTGAGGTATGTTTGTTCGGTGTTTGGTTGTGCAGTTGTAATACTAGTACCTTAAGACTATATGAGAGATATTGCAGCTAATTATTACATTATGTCCAGGAGTACCCATGTATTAATCGTAATGTAACTACAGAGCAACTAGGATTGCTATGCCTTGATGGAGGCACTGCAGGAATGTGCTTTACCCAAGGCATTAGACTTTTCTTTCTGAAAAAGAAGAACTTAGACTGAGAAGAACTGACTGAAATGAAAATAACTTCCTATCCTGATTATTGTCCCATAGCAATTCTTTCCAAGAAATCTTTTGAACAAAATGAACAAACATACTAATCCTTTCTGGTAATATAAACAACTGTATCAGCTTTCAGTTTCTTTTTAAAACCATAGCATTAACAACACTAGAAAAGATAGAAATGGAAATTCTTGTTGTGTTCCAAGGACGTGATTGCTATTAAAATTATAGGGAGGTTTTATTGTGTTTTTCTTTTGCTTCTTTTCCCTTTTTTCTTCTGGAATTGTGGCTTACCTTCAGCACACCCTTTAATAATGACACTTTGTTTGCTGGAAAATGAGAGTCATGAAAAAGTTAGGCAGACTTGAGAACCAAGTGGTCTTAAACCTGAAAAAACAAACAAACAAAAAAAAAGCAACACTGGAAAATTAGATAGGGTGATTAAGGAAGTAATGGCTTTTTTTCACAGAGCTGGCTACAATTACAACTAAGAGATTAATCTGTGTAAACAGAATTCCCTCCCTCCTCCACACACACGCACAAATTTTTCACTTATTTCAACTAAATCAAAACTACAAACTGTGACTTAGGTGCCATAGTTTAGCTACAATATGATCAGCAGTTGTCTAAAATAAAAGAGAATCTGATGAGAACATCTCCAGTTTTAAAATTCAGTGATAACTACCATGGAGAAAAGAGCCACGTATCCTGAGGGCCAAGACTGCAAAGTTTCAGGCAGCTTCCATTTGGAACAAGGCACGTCTCAAAAAGGCACCTTTGAATTTAACATTCAAATGAGATGGTACACTCTATTGACTATCATGATTTGTATTTTCTTTTTTTCAACAGATATGGCAGAATCCTCATCTACCTTCTCTCCTGCCTTGGGGTTGGGATATGTGGTATTATAGTGGCTTTTGCACCAAACTTTAGTCTATTTTTGATCTTCCGTTTTCTCCAAGGTGTCTTTGGGAAGGGAACCTGGATGACATGCTATGTGATTGGTGAGAACTGTTATCTTCCATTTTTCTTTTTCTGACTCAGAAAAGTGAGGGAATGAGGAATGGAGGACAAGGAGTCTGGTTATCCCTGCTCTTGATGATAATTTTTCCTTGATCAAAAGGGATGACAAATAATCCGAGTCCATTCTATGTAATGCATTTATTCTCAGTGACAAGGTGGATGCATGCAAATTGTAACTTGGTATGATCCTGGGCTGGGCTCGTGTTGGAACTAATGACTGTTTCCCCAGATATATAGTCTGCATGCAAAACATGCCAGGAACCCTTATAGAAGCTCTACAAAATAGTTTCCTTACCTGACAATGTCTGCTCACTTACTGGTATGATTGCAAGTGCAAACTTGTTTCAATACTGAGTACAGATATGAGATGGGTATGAGCAGCAGCATACATGCTTACTTGACCTCATGAGATCTCATGGAGAAGAGCAAGGAAGAAATAATGCGTAAGGGCAGCCTAGAAAGAGTGACGTCCTTCAGAACTGTTCTGATTCTCCTTTCATATGTGTCACCACACTATTTGTGTGTAGCAGGTCAGAGGAAATTCAGAAGCAATGCAGCTTTTCCTGTTGACAGGAATACTGTCTGACATATGGGCTTGCACATGTTTCATAAACACACATTCACAAAATAAAAAAGTCCAGCAAAGGATTAAAAAAAAAAGGCTATGTTTGTTCTAGTAAATAAAGCAAACTGTAGACCATATCTTAGCCTCAGAGAAATCAGTGTGGCGGAGCTAAACTCTCTTCCCCATGGAAGTTTTGTCCATATTGACTGTAAGTGCGGCCCCTGCCTGAATGATCCCTTGATCTGGAGCATGAGCCAAAATTATGTGAGGGAGAATGCAAACAACTGCTACTAATTGTGATGCAGTCTCAAGACCTTGGTCTGTCCCTGTTTAATTTGTTAGTAAACGTGCAGTCAGAGACCTCTGGCCAAAGAATGGTGGATAAGTTAATGGGGTGGTACCAGTACCACTCATGTTTGGACATACCTGGTGACAGTTTATACAGCTGAAGGAAAAATGCTGGGCTAGCTAGACAGACTGACCTGAACTGATACAGTACCATTCTTCCTTATGCTCCACTGCTGACATTTTTTTTTTTTTTTTTGAGCTAGATTTGTTTCTGTTTTGTTCATTTTGGCTTTCTATCTGCTCAGTGACAGAGATTGTTGGTTCTGATCAGCGGATCGTTGGGATTGTGATACAGATATTCTTCACCTTGGGAATTATGCTTCTCCCTGGAATTGCCTACTTGGTTCCCACCTGGCAAGGGATCCAGCTGGCCATTTCACTGCCCAACTTCCTTTTCCTACTCTACTACTGGTAACATTGCAGTCATTGCTCTTGTTGCTATTGCTATTAGAACACCTTGAGACCACCGCAGCGGCTCAAAATCTCTAGTGTGCAAGATGTAAATTAGGAAGGAGATCTTGCATGTATATACATGTACTCACATGTACATACTAAGCCATATATCCTTTTCCTGCATGTTGTACTGTTTCTTCAAAAGTTTTCTGTCATTGCCATGGCACTTTTAGACTGTGATTAATCTTAACTGCAAGCAAGCAGAAACTGAAACACTAATCTATGGTCTTGTGTTGGGCACAGTTTATAAAATATGTATGAATATAGCTAGAAGCTTGCTGGTCTGCCTGTTCTTGAAAGTACACGTGGTTAATGTTGACTTTCAGTGTACCTTGCTGTTCTACCAACAACCTGTTGGTTTGTTGGTTACTGTACTTGATGTACGAGGTGCAGATAAGTTAGATTTCTTACTTTTGAACTTTGCTAAGCATTGACACGGTCTGTTTCCTCCCTTCTTCCCCTCAAGGATGACATATTGTGTGAGAGACTGAGGAGTTTTCTCTTCTAAAGATTGAAAAAATCAGTGTATGAAAGGGTATAAAAGCAGGCAAAAGTCAAAGGACTTTACTTAAGCTTTTAACAGGCAAAATCCCTGTTGATGACTTCTCTGTTTTTACAGGGTTGTTCCTGAATCTCCACGTTGGCTTTTGACACGCAAAAAGGGAGAGAAAGCATTAAAAATCATGCACGACATTGCAAAACACAATGGAAAATATCTCTCACCGCATTACTCTGAGGTACTGTCATCTGTCTGAGCTAGATTTTTTTTTTTCCTAAGATTTTTTTTAATCTTTTGAAAGTTCAATGTGATTTGTATGGTGGGCAACACTCGAAGCATCACACCAGAACAAGATTTTCGTCTCCATACTTGGGTTGTTAAGTGTAGGAGTGTTGGAAAGTGCTACTGGCTAGAAAGACAAGGACTGAAAAAAAGTTTGAAAAACAATGAATGAAGTCTCTCATTTGAAACATGCCTACTTCAAAAATCTGCAGGTTACTAGCCTAAACACTGGCTGTATGCTAACAGTATTTCAGAAATTTTCTTACTGAAAAGAAACTACTTACAGAAAATGCCCATCCATGAGCATAGAGTAGTATCCATAATGCCTACGCATTCATTCTTACATGTATGCAAAATTATCATGTGTAAGTTTGAACTAGAGTTTCCCTGAGACTAAGGGCGAAGACGTTAGGATGGTAGTGTTTAGAGAGGACTAGTTTGTCCTGTCCTCTCAGGAAGGGTTATAATCTGTGCTTTGTAGTTGGCATCCTGGGTTCTGACAGATTGGTATCTCACAAAGTTATTTCCCGTTGCTTTCCTTTAGAAAGGGAGGAACTGAGATTTATCTGAGCTTTTAAAAAAAAAAAAAAAAAAAAAAAAAAAAAGTGGAAACACTTCACAAAAATCCTATAATATTGTTCTGGATGAACCCCAAGCAAGTTTAATACTTTCTTCCTTAAACACCAGACATCTCTTTCAAATGCACAGGATTTTATTTATCTGCTAAGAAATGTGCTCCATAAATCGGTCACTCAGCTGAAGCTGTTCTGCTAATTCAAGAGCATTCCTGCCCCCATAACTACAGACTTTGCAAGAAGCATACTAGAAGTCTGCAAATATGGAAGTATTATAGAAATGCCAGTTGGTTTGTACTTTATATTCCATTGTATTTCCACTTCATTAAGTGTCTGTTAATGACAGCTCAGGCAAATTAATCTTAACACGGCAGGCTTTGTAGAGAAGCAGGGCTGTGACCTATGCTGTGCCTCTTGAGATATATGTCTCTAGACTAATGATTTTCTAAAGTCAAAACTAGACATACTATCAGGGATTAGTGTGCTGAACCACACATTTCCACAGCCAGATGCTTTATTTATAAGCAACTTAAGTACCATAATGTTGCTGTAATTAAGTTTTTGTATGTTACATTGTTCAGGGGAGCAGTAATGATTGGGGGGGGAGGGGGAGGAGGGTGGAGTTTTTCAGGGAAAAAGTTATACTTCTGTGGCCAAGAAATTGAATATACAGAATAAAACTGTTGTATGTTAGTGAAACAATGTCATTGAGGGAGATTTGAGGAGAAGTAATAGCTTAGGCCAGCGATTAGTGAGCCAAGTCACCAGTGAAAGCAAAAGCATGAATGTAATACCAGCCAAGATCAGGAAATCACCCTAAGCTGTCCTACAAAGCAAAATGAGCTGTGCTGAATTAGCCTTTGGTACAACAAAAGTGCAGGTTGAAACCAATGAGAGATAAGTAAACTGAAAAGGGCTAACTAATGAGAAAGAAATGGGTAACTCTGCTCATTGTGCTTTGCTGGGGCAGATATCCCAGTGAGGTTCACCTGTCCAGGTCAGCATTACCCAGTGCTGAGCATGGCCAATGATGGGAAAAGCTTTGCTGCTGCAGCTCTCCCTCTGCATGCAGCTCCTGCACCCTCTTCCTCCTTCCCCTCTCTGGACATATCAGCATATTCAAAGTGTCACATCAGAATGCAGACGTCTTTCCTAGTTTTTGCTATAAGTCATATTTAATTTCTTTCAGAAGTGTTCCACCTCATGACCCTGAGGCACTCATAGCTGCAGCAAATTATCCCAGCTTCAAGCTGAATCTGTTCCTGGGACCTTTTCAGTATGCAATGTGTCCTCTTTGTTGCTGTGCCCAGAGGAGAGACAGTATCTCCAGGAAGCACGTTAGCAGAGAAGTGGGTGCATTTCTCACATTAACTCGCATCAGAGTTCTCATTCACATTGCAGCTGCAGAATTTCAGGTAGAGAAGTGCAAGTGTGGAGAGATGGGGGTGAGAAGCATTATCTTTCATCATATTTTGGCTAAGATTATCCTGTCCCTATACAGCAGTTTCATTGCCTGCATCCCTTGTATGGCTCTGGATGCATCAGCCTTGTGTTTTTACTGGCACACAGAGAACACAGATGACCTTTGTATAAAAACAGATAAACATTACTTTCTATTGCTCTTTGAGTTATGACATTGGCACAGTTCAGCTCTGTACAGAACTCATTAACTTTGTTGAATATTACAAGCAACTGGGAAAAAGGACTTATAATTATCTTACTATTTATTTTTCATGCTAATTGTTTCATACTTGATCTCTATCCAAAAGGAGAATGAGCCATGACTAGTTGAGTAAGAACTGCTTCTTGAGAGAGTCATGGATCAAAATACTCTCTCCCTTTACACACAGACATTTCCAGTATATACATGAGCTTATATGTGTCTCATACATGTGCACACGTTGTTCTGCAGAGTTAAGTATGTGCAGACTTATATGTGTCTGCTATGAGTAGCCTTTGATACTTGTTGCTGAAAAACTGAGATGTAATTCGATGGGACATAAACATGTCATGGAAGTTAATTATAAAACTTCCCACAGAGTCTTCGTATTGTGTATCTTTGGAAACGTGGGCTCTTGTCTTTGAATTCCTGGCTGCACTGATGTGAATAGCAAAGCTCTCCATGACTTCAAGGGAGAAGAAGAGAATTTTCTTCCTGACAAATTGTTGACTCTTCAGTGTTTTATTTCTTCATCTATACAGAATGCTCAGTTATGCTTGGGGTTATTATGACTTTATTGAGTCATTAAAATGTATGGTAGCAGCCATGCTGGATTTATCTTCCATCCTTTGGAGGACTAAAACCATATTTGCACAAAGGCACAGCTGATGGCTGGCAGCCTGCTCTTATAAATCAGTCATGTCAGCTTTGTAACCATATTATGAGCAAGTCTGAGAGCAGTGCAGGAACCCAGCAACCTCAGCCTGCCCTACAAAATGCTCTGGAATGCAGAAGTGGCAGCGCTTTGAAGAAAACTCAGGGCACTGGCTGCAGAAGAAAAGCAAGAGGGAGCAGAAAGGAAGCTCAAACAAACTGTGGCATTTCTCTCTCTACTTAAAAAGTTTTGTGACTCAGTTATGAAAAGTTGTGCTTAAATATGACTGTATAAATCTCACTGGAAACATTTGTGCTTTGTGGTCTGAACAACAAATGCAGAGCAACAGCCATGGGCACAGCCCTGGCTGAGCAGAGGAGATGTTCAGACAGTGCTTTGGCCTTTACCTGTTGCCTCTTCATGAATGCATGTGGTCCTATGTACTTCTCTGTCTCACCCTATCTCCCTGCAGGCCAGGGTTGCCTTTCTGGGAGCCACAGCAGCCAGGCTGCCTGAAGTCCCCCTCAAAATGTACAGCAGGTTTAACTCCATGTTTCCCTCAGCTTTTCTGTGAGATGATGGAAGTTCCAACTGTGGTTGCCAGTCTTTAGGCAGATCCATGTTGGTCTCTGCTTAAAACCTCCTGTATGTTCTCTTCCTCACCTGCAAAAAGAACATAAGAATCAAAGGTCTGCCTGTTGGCTCAGACACCAGCATGTGTCTTAATGTTATGTCTGTAAATATCAGTAGTGGATGCTTAGGGAACAAAATAAGAGCAGTGTCTCGGGCAGGAGTAGCCTGATCCTTCCCATGGTATGTTCCTCAACCTCTGGTCCCTGGCAGGCTTAGGAAACTCCTGGCCAGGTTCTCCTTCTGATTTGCCACGTTTAAAAACTGGTGGCCAAGTCTGCCTCTGTGGATGTGCTTAATAATCCCTTTTTGTCCCTGCTAGTGTTCTGGCTCCACAAAACTCTATGGCAATGCGCTCCAAAGTATAACCAACCAGCCCTTTTCTGTTATTGTTAAACCTTCCAGCTAATTACTTCATCATCTGCCTCATTATAATTGTGCTAGAGGAAGTGTGAGTAGACTTAACCTCTGAGGCACATTAATCCATACTTCACAGGATTTTTTTGTTGTTTCAGGGTAAAAGCCTTGATCAGCATAGTGCTTTGTACTTGAAGTGCCTCTGAATTTCACCAGTTACATTTTGCAACCCCTTCACAGATCTGTTTTTTCTCGCACTTCCTGCTGCCCATCTGTGTCACCAGTGGCCATCCCACAACTCATTGCTTTGCTTGTCCTGTGGCTTTCTCTGCTTGGACTGACCATCGTGTGGACAAAGCTATTCGTTGTCTTTCAAGGGATTCTAAGTCAATCTCTTTCAGTTTGCTATGAGGAAATCATTTTTCCACTCTCAGGTCAAGATTTGAGTTTTTTTTTTCCAATTTTTGCTCTGTCGTTGCTAAGGAAAACCAGCAGCTGAATTCAGTTATAAGCTATTTCTAATAACTACATACTGCTCCAGAGTGCTAGAAGCAGCAAACCAGGCTGTCAGTGTGCTTTCTCACTTAACTGAAATACTGCTGAGCACTGCATTTACTGATACTGTGCTGTCAGATGTCTGACAGCTGGTTCTGCTGTTTGCCTTTCTCCTCAGATCACTGTTAGCAACGTGGAGGTCACCAATCCCTCTTTTCTTGACCTGGTGAGGACTCCTCAGATGAGGAGGAACACACTCATCCTGATGTACGCCTGGTAAGTGGCCATAATCAGTGCTGCTTGTTACACGGGTGGGACATTATCAAGAATAATCCTCTGCTGACTTCTAGGGCATTTCCAGCCATTTGCCTCACAGCACTATTTTGTCTTTGGTGTTTAGGTTCACAAGTGCCCTGATCTACCAAGGGCTTGTCATGCGCCTAGGAATTGTTGGAGGAAACCTCTACCTGGACTTCTTCGTCTCAGGAGCTGTTGAATTGCCTGCTGCTCTCCTAATTTTAATCACAATTGATCGCATTGGCCGGCGCCTTCCCTTCGCAATAGGCAACATTGTGGCAGGAATTGCATGCCTTGTTACTGCCTTCTTGCCAGAAGGTAATTTCCAATTCTTCACTACCTTGGCTTATTTAGGTCAGTGGCTTTTCTCTCTGACACCCCTTCCTTAAACAAGGGCGTGTAGACAAAAGTAAAAGGGGTCTAGTGATGCAGACAGAACTAAGAGTCATGAAACAACACAATTTATTTGCTCGTAGGCTGACCTGAGGTATGGCTCAGTTATATCTTTAATAAACAGTGAACAACAGATGGGCGTGATCTTGGAAAATGTGTATAAAGGCCCTGTACAATTTTGAAGGCACATGCGAAGGAAGAACACACAAACAGGAAGGGAAAATGCATTCACTGACTTGGAAGTCTCTTGATGGAAGAAATCAGTGGTCAGTGGTCTAGCTAAGACACTGTTTGGAGTCCTCTCATTACAAAATAAAACTATACCTGGGAAAATATTATGGCCCTAACCTCTTGAGATCTTCCTCTGGTGTCAGGGCTGTCCTGGTTTTATCAGACTGTTACAGTGGCTCAGTGGTGCCAGATTATTGTGTGCTCTGTCCACTTTCATTCATGCTCTCCCTTTCATCCTCATCCAAGGAAGTAGGGGATGTGGCACACAGCAGGAGTCTGGGGATTGCTGAGGGGGTAGAGGAATGGTATGAGTTTCAATTAAGTAATTCTTGTCTGATTTCAAGGGCATGTAAAGGGTCTGATATCACTTGAAGGCTTCCCAGCACTCCTTCGTTTTCTTTAAATTGTTTTCCCTCCTGTATAGCTGTTATATTGTACCTTCAAGTGCGTATCCACAGAGGGACATTTGGAGATGCTGTGTACTGAGTGTTACCACATCAGCGTGCTTTGCCTCAGAACAGCAAGGAACTGGCAACCAAACAGGCATTAGAGAGGCTCATTCTTCCCAAAGATGTTCCTGTCAGAACAAGCGGCAGTTTCTGCTAACCAAGAGGTTTTAATCACAGACTTTATCAAGGGACAATAGTTTTCTTCAGAAGAGCATGAGGAACCATTTCAAGGGTGTAATGTGTTGACGTAAGCAGGCAGATTTGCAATGAGTGCAAAATGAAATCCTTCAGAGAGGACTGTTTGCTCATCTCTCTCTCAGTTAAGCTCCCTGCAAAGCAGTTCCTCCAAAAGTACTTATTAGTGCATGTTTGAGGACCACTGAAGTCTTTGAATGCTGGGTCTGCTCTCCTGAAGGATTTTGTCCACCATGACTCAGGTTTCTGCCGCTGGGATCCCCTGTGTATAGCCAACATGCTGTGCTTGGCTACTGGCCAGTTCTCTGCTGTGAAGCACTGACATTAGGGCACAGAGGGCCCAATCCTGGTGGCTAAGGTACTCACAGATAGGATATCTGAGGTCCCAGTACTGCTTCAAGTAAAATGTTTGCACAGATGGAAAAAGCTGCATCAGCACTTTGTGAAAGCCTAGTCATGTTGGGGTGGTCACACAGGTCAGAACCCCTGGCTCAGGGAGGAGCTACACTTCTCCCAAGGGGTCCCTATGGACTGAAGGGGAACCAGGCTGAGGATGTGGGTTTGTTTTGTTATTTCCAACCTTTGCTTTTCTGGCAAGTGTTTGAAAACAGAGCTTTGCAGGGCAAAGGCAGTTTCACAATGTAAGATGAAATTTGTTGGGGGTCTTGTTTGATTATTTTGGAATGGAAAAACCTCTAAGTATCCATTTGCTGGTTCTGAAAGAACTGAAATGTTTTCTTGTTCCTCCTATTGGAGTTCTGAGAAAATACAATCTCTGCCAGAGCCCTCTCCAGAAGCAGAGCTCCCCTTCATGCCAGGTTCAGGGTTACTGTTTTACTATCCTCCCAGTCTGCTCACTCATGGTGTGTCCACACAGGAGACCATCCTCCTCCGAGGACATTGAGGTACTCCACATTATGTTCTAGGTGCCTCTCCATCAGAGGCTGTTGGCTTTCCAGATGGAGCTGGAGGACTGCTGAGGGGTTTCACATGACTCGGGATGGCTTTGCCCTGCGGCGTGGATGTGGCCATCATGCCCTTTGTACCTGGCTCCCTGTTAAGAGGCAGTGGCCAGAGCCTGAGCAGAGAGAGCCTGCTCGAGTGGCTTGGGGCTGGTTGTGACAGATACAATGCCAAGTGCCAGAGCAGGAGGATGCCTGAGAGCATCAGTGTTAGGAGTGTATCCAATGTGCAATAGATAAAAAAAATTATGAATTGTAGTTAGCCTACTCTAAGGAGAATGATATGCTCTCCTGATTTAATTAGTTGGAAGTTATTTCTGTTTCCCCACAGCAGCATCTCATGATGCTGGAAAGCAGTGAACACCAATATAGGCTGATATCTGCAGCAGTTTAACTTTCAGTCTGGCGTACTGATTCAGCGTTGCTGTGTCACAGCTTTTGCTTACAGGGCTTGGAGCTTTTAGGAGCATGAGAATAGAAACAGCATGTCTGAGTGAGACCTGAGTCCCACCTAAGTCCTGACAAGGAATAACTTGGGCAGACAGGCAGTGAAGATGTGTTCTTCTCCTACCTGTCACACACAGTCATAACTTAGAGGCTGATTTGGCCAGGGGTAGGAACAGCTTTCCAAAATGCTTTTTTCTTGTAAATCCCCAGCTGAGTAGTTGACTCTCCAGTGCCTTTTTCAAGCTTGGTAAGCTGCTGTTGTCAGTGATTTCACATGGCAGGAGTTTTTCTGTCCGTGAGGAAGAATGGGAGCATTGCCAATGACTACTAGTGAGCTCAGAGCACCCAGAAGCAGCTGTAGCAACCAGAGTCTGCTCAGTAGATCCCACTTCAGCCTAATTGGGAAAAGTCTTTGCTGTGCTGCAGTCAGTGCACATATCAAAGTGAAATTCCTGCTGACAGCATTCTGCTGATGCAGTAAAGTCTCCCTCACCAGGGTTTCTTTCTGAATGGACAGATATTCCATGGTTCAAAACCACAGTGGCCACACTGGGAAGGCTGGGCATCACAATCGCTTTTGAAATCGTGTACCTTGTGAATTCTGAGTTGTACCCGACAACACTAAGGTAAGGCAAAATGTTTTTGCTCTGCTTTTCACCATTCCCTATTTCACTGATTTTTAGTACAACTCATTTTTATCCAGAGTTTCCTAACTGAATACCATGCTTCAAGGTAGATGGCATATACTGATGAGATAATTTTGGGGTTAATTGTATTGGATCATCTGCTTGCTAGCATCTGTTAAATATCTGGCATTGCTTTTCTTTTGCAGAAACTTTGGTGTCTCCCTGTGCTCAAGTTTGTGTGACCTAGGTGGGATCATAGCCCCATTTCTGCTTTTCCGATTAGCAGCCATTTGGTTGGAGCTACCTCTGATTATTTTCAGTAAGAATTGATTTGAAATTGACTTTTGGTTGATATATTCTCCTAGAAGAGCTTTTTGCTTAGGGCACTAGTGTAGTGTGTGGCCTCATCTACCCTGAAACCAGCCCTTCTCAACCATCATGCCTAGTGCAAGAGGCTGAACAGCAAATGGTCGAGATCTGGGTGGTTTCACAGCATGCTTTGGAAGATCTCAGGCTCCCTTTGGTATCTGTGTTGAATGATGAAGCTATGTGTGGTGTTTCAAGACTAAAAAACCTTGCAGCTAAGTTGTGTAATGGCAGAGGAGTAAACTTAATCTCTGGACAGTAGCAATTGATGTCCTTGAACAATTTTTATTTTGATATACACGGTTATGATGTGGATGTTGTATTAGCCATAACTTCTTTTTCCTGTAAAAAAAACTCTTTTCCTCAGTTTAATTTTGAAAAAATAAACCCTGCAGAATAAATATGCAGAAAAAAAAATGTATATTTTTTTTCCAACAAGGAGGCTGGAAGTAAACCAGACTCACAAGAGCTATGTGTGGCTGGGAAAAAAAGGAAAAGTTGTAGGATAAAGTGAGAAGAGAAATTGATGCTAATGACAGATTTAGCTTGGAAACATAAATGGAAAGACAAAATATATTTTTTAAAAATCCTATTAATTTAAGAATAGAAGCATATAGAAGTACTGCGATTACATTAGCTAATGCTGAAATACTTATGCTGCTGAAGGATATATAAGATTTGACCTCTAAGATCTCTTACTTTGGGCAATTCAGGCTGCAAATGAAGTCATATTCCTCTTTTTTTTTTTTTTCAGCTCTGTTTTTTTTTGTTTGTTCATTTGTTTTTGTAACAGATGCTCGTTAAATTCACATGAAGGTACTCAATAGGAGGAGGACTAATCAGAAATACCTGTTGTACTTTAAAAATATCCCTTTAACCTTAGTCTGAGTAAGTTTTCCTTATCTGATGAATCCTGAATATAAAAAAGTAACACTTTTAAAAATTGTTTTTGTTTTTCATCCATGCCCATTGCAGGTATTCTTGCAGTTGTCTGTGGGATCCTAGTATTACTTTTACCAGAGACAAAGGGAATCTCTTTACCTGAGACGGTGGAGGATGTAGAGCAACTTTCAGGGTATGCTATGTATTTTCTAACTTTTACCTGATTGAGGTTTCCTGAGGATATTATTCTCCAACCTTGTTGACCACCATAAATTATAGATGTGTTTTGAGCATCCAAGTAAATTCCCTAGTCAGGTTGATACTATGAGCAGATAATTTTTCCTAAATAAATAACAGTGTGAACTTTCCAGTACCACTAAGGCAGGTTGTTAAACAGATCACCACCCCCAAAAACCATAGGGAGATAATCTGTATTTTTCTCACAAATTTTTCCTGTGTACTTCTGGAGGCAGAAAATGATAGTGTACAAGAGATAGACTGCAAAGAATATTCTGCAGTTCTCTGGTCAGGAAAACCAAACATTGCCTCAATTAAAGCGTGCTGTGAATAAGTCCATAGCTTGTGAAAGCTTCCACAGCTTCCACTGAATGAATTTATAACTGAAGACATACAGGCACAGCTTCCCCATTCATAGCACGTGACGAACTAGAATCTTCAATGCACTACAGGCACATAGGGAAAATTTACAGCTTGGCTTGCCTGACAGCAAATTTCTTAATGAGCTAGTGACATAGACTACTGTTTCATACAGTGGGTTTGGATCTTGTGTCAACATTTTAGCACTTCAATACACAACCAAAAAAAAACAAATACAATCGAATGTCAGTACTGTGGCTTGAACTACAACTCTTTTTTTCTTCCTCATTTATGCCTTCTTTTTTCCTTCAGTCACTGTGGTAAATGTGGGAAGAAGAAGAAACACCAGAACACCAATTCTTATATTTGATCTCTAAAGGATGATGTTGAGCAAAGGACTGTGATCCCATACTGGGAATTTCTTCTTCACTTGCCACCACTTTGAAGTTTGCTCCAGGGTATGGATTAAATCCATGTTCTTCTTCCAAGTATAAGGACATTCAAAAAAAGCAGTGTATTCTTCTGTAAATGTGAAATAAATTCATTTTTTCTAAGTGTGTTGTTTCCAGGAAGGAAGCACTTTTTGATTTTGATAGAGAGCAGATCAGCTTAATTGCACTTATCCAGCTCAATGAGCTTTTATTTATTTCTTTATACATTTGAGATGTTTATTGGATGACTTTGAATAACTTTGGAGAGGAAAAGATGAATATGTGAGCCTTTGCCCTTGGACCATCTGGACAAACAGAAGAACTGATGTCTCATGAGGGAGAGCGCTAATCAGGGCAGCCCTTTTTGGATCAGAAGTGATGAGACTGGGAATCCATTCACCCTGGGCTGCTCCTCTTACCCAGCAACACTGCAGCAAAAGCTCTGTCCATTGAAGGTCTTTGTCAAACGTGGTAGCACTCCTCTTCTGTCACTTCTTACTCAGGGCATTAGCTCTGCAGGTCAGATCATCCCATTGCCCATTGGTGCCTCCCCCTAGACCTGTGGTCTTGTGTCCTAGACATGCTAATTTTTTCCATTCTAAAATATACTCTGTCCATTTCTGCAAGCCAAATCATCTCACCCTGACCTGGACCTAGGTGTCTTCCAAGTTCCTTCTTCCCCTCATTGTTACTTGTCATCTTTTTGGTTGAGGATAAGTTATTTGGGATACTGACAGGGATGTTAAGCTGTCTTGGGAAGATGAGCAAGGATGAGACAAGAGCTCTGTTTACAGAGGGAAGCATTAACTCAATCTGGTTGTTTGAAGTTGACCTGTAGCAGAAATGTTTGATCTCTGTCTCTGCAAGCAGATAAGAGGGACACCTCACCTTCCGTTTCATCTGTGTGACCTCCACCTAGTGCTGGGTCCTGGCCAGAGACAGACAATACCCTCCTTATAGTGAAGAACTTAAGAAGATGTGGTGTTTGAACATATCTTGTCATGGACAATGAAGAATTAAACAAACAAAGGAAAATCATTGAGTTGTAGAACCTTATAAGACCAAAAACCAACAGATTTGGCATGAGCAAATTTAGGAGTGTGTCTTAAAACTTCATGCCACAAATGACTGATGATAACATTAAGTTTAATGCAGATGAATTACTACTATTCTATTCTAATTATCTTATGAGCACCAATAGTTTCCCGTGCATGGGGTTTTCCTGTGGTGAATTTACCAGTCATTTCAAGAATTTCTGACTCTCCCTGTCTTTTCTGATCAGCTGCCCATACCACCAACCCCTGTGGAGGAAACTAAGACAGTTAGTAGTAATCTCGAACTCATGTTTGCCTACTCTGAACAGTTAATAATGAAGGGCTTTCTTTCATCCCTATTCTTAATTTTCTGAATGATAGTTCAGAAAGATGCTTGGCAAAAGTCAGCAGTGATTGAGAAATACAAAACTAAATGAACATCTCATAATTTATCTGTCAAATTGGTGATATCTAGAGTATGACCTGAAATTGGAGCGACTGCTGCAAGCAGAAAATCCCTCTTACACCAACATGCTCTTCTACAGACAGCTGTAAGCTCCTTAGGTTGGCTGGCAGAGAACAGCCCTGAACTGGAAGTCATGAGCTTTCACAGCTTGGACCTGAGCAAACCCACTGCAGCGTCTCAGTGTCCAGAGCTCAGCTCTGCCTTCCCGGCAGCCCACCAGCCCCACTGCCCTGGGGAACCTTTTCTTTTAATGCTTCTCCCTTGTGAACTTTTATTTTTTAACCAGTTTCATAATCGCTGTAGCACTCTGAGAAGGATTGTGGAGATCATTTAAAACTATGGTTTGACAAGGAAATGTTAATATTATTTGCCAGCATCTGCTATTTGTAGATGACTGAAAAGTGCTTGAGAAATGAGAGGAATGAAGGCTCCAGAATACAGCTGGAAAAAGGGTAAAAGTGCTTCAGCATTTTCTGCCTGGAACAATCCCCTGTCTACCTTCAGAGCTGAAGGTGATTTGGAAACCTTGTCAGCAGTATGAAGGCCTGGTCTAGGATGGGCAAGAAGGTGTCACGCACCACCTCACTCTGAGAGAGGCAGTGAACTGAAGGGACCAGACATTGTCAGCTTTAGCTGTCTTGCATGTATTATACAGGTCATTCTAGAGGCTCAGTGAACAATGTGATCTGCCTAGAAGACAATGGATCACCTTACCATTGTTTAAGGCACATGTTCAATATGATAGCAGAAACCCAGGAGCTAAATTCTTCCTGTCTGCAAAAAGATTCCTTAGACCAGCAACCGTGTGGATGTGCTATTCAGTTTAACTGTGTCTCCACCCCAAAATCTGGCTCTTAGGTGGGATGTGTGTAGCCTCTCTGGCATGTCTGCGTATTTCTACCCTGTCTACGATCTCTCATTATAGTGTATATGAGAAAAGAATGACAACTCTTAGGATACAACCTATCTCCTCCATGGGCACTAGTTCTTGGGGGAAGCCATGGAAAAGTGTGAGTATGTTTCTGGGGGGCAATGTGATTGCCATGTTAATAGCAGTAACTTACTGAAGTTATTTTTACAATGTGTTTTGGAAGAAAAAAAAATCCCTTTTTGTACAGTGGAAAACAAATGACAAAATTGAGAACAAAGAAAAAGTCTTAAATGTGAAATAAAAGGAGACAAAACTGCTTCACAGTTCAGAAAGTGCCAAGAGTACTTTATTTTTCCTTACTGAATATGCACATGTATATTCAGCACTGAGTTTTAGGGGTCTGCATGGAAACTGTTGAATCACGGCCTGAACCTCTGTTTGATCACCTGAGGTGAGCAATGAGTCAGCCATGGGAGCACAGGTGAAGGGAATTCACCTGTGCTGCTGGAAGGGGTGGAGCCTGGCTCCATCTCTCCTAGACCCATTTAAAAGCTGACTACCAGTGGGAAAGGATCTCTTCTGGAGATTCTTTCTTTGAGTTTCTCAGCAAGCCTAGGATGCGGGTAAGCTTTCTATCTATTCTCTTTTTGTTATTATATTCTGCTTTGCAAAACTCTCTAGTTTATTTCATAGTTATAACATCTTTATATTCATTGACTATACAGGGTCTCTTCTGTTTTTTTTTTTATATCTCTTTCAGATTTAATTTCCTGTAAGCACAGGCATATGCATTTCCTCTTCATTTAGAGAAGAAAAAGCTGTATGCAGTGGTAAGACAAGTTATATAGTGAAACAAGACTGGTCCTGAGGATGACAGAAGTTTATAATACACTACATGCATTGTCATTACTCGCTGTAATGACTGACATCAGTTATTTCTCTGTCTTCACTATGAACTAACTTTTAGATAAAGGTATTTTTTTATTCACTGTTTTATGCAACATTTGTACTTCTGCTAACACAAATTTCCACGTCAATAAAAAAAAAAAAATACAAGCCAAATGTGTTTGTTTTTTCATCCCATGTACTTAATGCAGTCAGATATATCTAATAAAACACCACAGGCATAACAGATGTGTACAGTGTTTCTTCTTTTTTTTTTTTTTTAATCATTGGATTGGTGAAAAGATCAAACAGCTCATAGAAAATGACAAATATTCTCCTTTCTTCATCTGTTGGAGACACAACATCTTAAACTTAGAATAAAAAGTCATTGTAGAGTCTCACGATTGAAATGCAGATATTCAGTTACAGCTGATGTTGGAATTTTTGACAAGTATTTCAAAGGTGTGTTGGTCTATTGTCAAACATAGCAAACCATGGAATGTATAGAAAGAGGGTGATGCAGTCAGATGGGTTTTATGGCAATAAACATTACCTTAAAGCAATTTTAAATGGATGATCATATTTATTTTGCTTTTTAGGAATGATTGTAGCTTTAATATTGCACTTGTAATCTGGTATTTCTAATGTGCATACTGCTTTCCAGGAGAGGGCAGTCCATACCCAGGATCAGTTGTTTTCCATTACGCTCTTAATCCAAGGAATATAATTAGAAACTCGAACATAAACTCCGGGTTTCATGGGTTGAGCACAGCCAAGGCCCCAAGAGGTGACTCCATGTTGGACAAATCTATCTTGGTCCAGACAAACTAGAGGTCCTCCACTGTCTCCCTAAATAGAATGAGAAAAAGCAAAATGAGAGCTCAAGATGTGAAGAGTGGTGTTCTCCCAAGAGGCACAGAAATGGAACTGCCTCTTGAATGAGAGATCATATGTTACCAGAAAGCACTAGAGCTTTGGCCAGAGAGGAGTTTTCTAATGCATGCTGTTGAGCACTGTTCTTATAACCAATGCTGATGCTCACAGCCCTTTCCTTACCTGGCAGGTATCTGTGCCTCCATGAATATTTCCAGCACAGAGCTCATGTTTTTTGACTCTCCCATTCAAAAATTCAGGGCGGTTGCATATTTTATTCTCAATTACAGGGAAGCCAGTTTCCTTTAAGTAGCCTTCACCAGGAGTTCCTTTGCAAGTAAACAAAGTAAATTATAAAAAAAAAACCCAGTGTGTTAAATTACAAAGATAAATTAGCATCTTCATAAAATAAATGTCAGGATAGGAGTAAGCAGTAAACAAACATACTTTCTATGCATGCTCAGTAAGCATTATCAGTATTATCACAGTGCTTATCACCTTTTAGCACCCATCAAAACACACAATGCGTTGATTGCCCTTACTGTTCTCGCACTGAATAGATATGGGTCCAGTACCCATACTGTATGTGGGAGTTGTGGGAGTCATTCCCAAACCATTTTATTTCTCTGGGTCTGAGAATACTTCTCTATGTAAGAAAGGAGAAAGGAAATAGGCAGTTGAAAATGTCACGATGGACAGAAGCAAGGAGGCAGAAAAGTTATGATGCTCTTCTCAGCCAAGACAAAGTGGGAGGTTTGAAGATGGGAGCGCTTTCATATTCAAATGAGATCTTCTGAACCAGTCTGATTGTGAGAAAAATCATTTGAGAAAACGAGTAAACTCACATCACATGTTAAGAAAATTGTGTAAGTCTGGAAAAACTTTCCTTCTGACTGTGTAAAAGCCTACTCGGGGGGAAAAGCAGAGTGGACTGAGAAATAAAAGCAAGTATGTGCTTAGGTCTGATTCCTCTCTTTTTGTATTGGTTTTGGGTGTTCCAGTGCCTGTCACTCAGAGAGGTTTTAAAGAATCTAAATCAGAAGGAAGTGTTAGAAAGAAAGGCAGCACCTTACAAACTAGATGAAAAATGTATGCATGCAAGTTTTTTGGGGGGTGTTTGTGGCATAGAGTGAGTATACTTTGGATATAAATATATACCACTCGAAAAACGGAGTGTTAATTCTGTCTCACCTTTTGTATCTCCCCAACCTGTAACATAGCACTCCTCTCTTCCTCCTAACACAGCATTTTCTTTCGGCAAGCAAACAGGGATTACCTGATCGGTGATGATTGCTGGGCTGAAAGAAACAAACAAAAGACTCACACAAGGTCAGTCATTATATCACTTATCCATGATACCACCTTAATATTTCTAAGAGGATTTTATACAGCCAGCCTTTTTTTCCTTGAAATTCTGAGCTTCAGGTAATGCTTTTTTTTCTGAAATTCAAAACCACTTATATTTTAGGTTCTAATCCCACAGAACACGGTACACAAAAGGAAAAGATCTGAAATGGAGAATGGTTTAAAAGGAAATAATATTAAAAATACTAAAGTAAATCCAAAAGAAAGTGTTCACATATGGTTAAAGCATAGACAACAAAGCCTACCTTACTCTGCCCGCACCCAGTCTCACTATTTATAGGTTACTTTCAAACTGGATACTCTTAGCGTAAAGCAGAACCTGAGTCAGTCTGACTTACTTCTGTATGCAGATTCTTAGATAGGTTCAATTAAGAAGCCACTTTAATTGTGCTGTGTTTTGGATTTTCATTGCAGCCAGAGAAAGAAAAGCACAAGCAGGTGTTCATATCTGCTTGTGGTTTTATAGATGTATTCCTATCAATTGCGTAGCATGTTGGAGTTTCAGACCAATGGAAACAGATGGAAGAAGTGCTAACCTGGATATTGCATCAAAAACGTGTACTGCTTGCCTGCTAGTGCAGGACAACCTGCTGGAAGAGCTCTCCCAACTCTATCATGGAAAAAGTATGGGGTCACAGTATGCTGCCATTGTAGCTTTCAATCTCGCTACATTACCAAGATTGAAATATATAGGGAAAGTTACGGAGTGAAAGCTTTTTTAGGCACAACCTCCTCCTGCTCTGCTGCCTCCACCATACTTCACAGCACCTGGCTTGGAGTGCACTGCTAGCATAGGTCACCATCTAGCCCTCCTCCCTCTCTAAAGCAGCGTTTTCCCTTTCTAAAGCCCTGCAAATCAATCACCCTAGCTTCCACTAGAGTTTCTGCAGAAAGGGAAGAGAGGGTCACAGTATGCATATAAACACACACTTCCATAGCACCAGCAAACAACCACTGCTTAGTTAAAAAAGCGGGCAAACCAAAATTTTCCTGTCAGAATGCTTCAGGTGAAAGGATACCTCCTCAGTTTTAGTAGAGCAATGTCCGCCCTGTGAGGCTCCTTGAACAGTTTCTCAACATCTCTTTTCTGCACTGATGTTTCTAATGCTCTTTCTTCGTGTAATCCAAGGTATACTTTATACGAGGATGGCCGTGATGACCTATTGGAAATGATTGCACACAGTGAGCACATTAACACATGTCCAGGACATAGGCCACTTATGATAATGTTGGGCACCTACTTCTTCAAAATCAGAAAAGAAAGCCAGCTTTGGAGTAAGCTTGTTTTTGTAATTCCTTATCATGGCATGTGAAATCAAAGCTTGCTATGTGCATTAACTGGTGATAGTTCTACTCAGCACTATTTGGTTTTCAGTCAGGACTGCTTTAATGAATGATGAATAGTTTTGGCTCAATTCTTGACTGTGCAAACTGAGTCAAGAGACAACTCAGGTTGGTTATTGGGCCGGTTTTATTTCTCCTGTTATTTTCTATCTCGTGTAAGAAAATGCTGTTGCAATCTGTGACAAATACTTACTTTTCTAAGCAGTGAGCAGCAGTAAGAACCCACTGTGGGTCTATCAGTGTTCCCCCACAGAAATGCAAGCCATAACTGTAATAGAGCAGAAAGGCATGAAAAAAAACATGGGTTTAAGGTGGTGAAAGCAGCTGTAGATCACTGTAGTTCATCAGGTAATCCTTCCAGCATCACTTTTACAAACTAAAGAACTTATTCTGTATTTTTATTTGGAATAAAATTCTTTTCTTTTCTTGAACTATATTTTTTGCAATGACAGGAGTGTTGTGTATATACTTTTATAACAAAAACAACTAGGGTTTTTTTTCCTTGATCAGTATTTTTACAACTGGAAAAACTGATATGCACCAATGTATATCTTATGAGAGATGATGGCTTTTATCCAGTCCTGATTTCAGTCAAAAAACTTTGGAACTAGACTCGGTTTCTGATCAAGAGCATATTTCAGACAGCTTACACTAATTTCAGGATATTGACTGTATGGTGGGATATAGTGACAGATTTAAATGCGTTCTTCCTTACAGTGAAATGATAGTGTTTTTCGAATTATCAATTGTGTTTATTTTGTAGGTATTTGTCATAAAAAGAGCATTCTTGGTTAAATAAAATGCCTTCTTTAAGATTAGCAAACAGTCTAATTTACAAGAAATAAATAGCTTAATAAAGTTTATTTTCAACTTTTAGCTTAGAGGCATTTACCCTTCTACTATTTTTAAATACATAAGTCAGTTATCTTTAGAACGTTATAACCACATACATACAGCATCCTGCAAGATGCTAAGCTTTCTTGATTGTAAAGCCTCATGCAATGGGGAGTGGCTATACCTTGTCCGGAGACTGATTTGCCAGGGCCAGGAGTGTGGATGTGAAATACACCCAGCAACAATCCTTTGAGCACATAGCTTTGGTCTGGTCTTGGCTTTTCCGCATTCATACTGAGTGGGAGCTACAGAATAAGAAAAAAGAATCAAGATGAGGAACTTCAGAGTATTTGCTATACATTCTCTATGCACTCAGAAAACTAAAAGGTTAAACTCTTACATTTTTCTATTCAGCTCATGGGTTCTAGTAAATTATACACTATGCATCATCTATGTTTTGTTAGATTTGTCTTCTTCTGGGACATTTAAAATGCCTGGTAATTTTTTTTTTTTTTTTTTTTTTTGCACAACCTTCCTGGTTCTCAGCAAATTATAATTGAATAGAAGTACAATGAGGTAGAAAAAAGAAAAAGAAATGGAACAAGAAGGCAACAGAATTAAATCCTCCCAATGTGTTTAAATTCTTACAGATGACAGAAGTGAAGAAGTTGCACTGCCAACTGTATTCAAACTAAATATAGTGAAAAAGCACATGAAATTCAGTCACTGTCTCTGTGGAACAACACTTTGTGTGCTCTTATCCCATGCTCTTTTAAGCACTTCAGATGACTCTGCACTATTCCAGAAGGGTAGATTTTGGTTAGCCATGGAAAGATGACCTAACAAGAATGCATTTAGATTTGTTGTCAGCAAAAGTAACTAACTACCGAAGCTAAAGGCAAAAGCCATGTTTCGTCTGCTCTTTAACTAAGCAGACTGGAAAGTTATTCTAAAAAGAAATTGGAATTTCAAGATGAAGTCAATGATTTTGTGTAAATGCTATTTTCCCTTAAGAGTCCCAGCCCAAGACTTTCCACACAGTAATATTTTTACAGTTCTGGTTTGTATGTACTATAAAATAGCTTTCTTATTCTTATTTGTTCTATATTTGGATTCTGATCAGAGGTATATAAACATAGAAGCATGTTTTCCAATCAGCTATGCCACATGACCAAGCAGTGTAATTTCTTCAGGACCAGCCCTACTTTGAAATATCTGGCAAAACCTCCATGAGCTTCGGTGGAATCCAGGTAAATCCACTGAAGTGTTTGAGGATTCCAAGGAATAACCATTGGTCTCAAGAATTCAGGCCCTGGTGTTGAGCATTACTTCACCACAGCCTTAATTTCCTATCTAAAGCTACTGCACTGTCTTAGAGCAGTCTTTCAGATTAATCACTGAATGTTGTCCAGTAGTCATAAAAGGTGATAAGAAAGGGAGATGCTAGTCTTAAAAGAAATAATTACGGCACTTGGGAATGTCACAGTACTCCCAGGCTTTTCTTGGGTCAGTTGTGTAGCACCAAGGTCCATTCACATCTCCATCAGGGTTCCTGCAATACTGTAAAGAATAATGAAGATATTAGCTATTAGCAAGAGGACAAAAAACGTATTGATTTTGTCCTAGAATGGTGATTTCTGGAGGACTACAGTGCCTATTTCCACCCCCACTGCAGTTGGTAGGAGCTATAACATCAGCTCTCAGGTCTTTTCACATCCACCCTGTTTGCATGACTGTAAGGCAAGCAGGAATTGTATAAGCTGCTCTTGCACAACTTGGTGATGTCTACGAGTCCCAGGACAGGGATGCAGTCTTCATCTTCACGCAGGGTGCCTAGTTAGCTGAATTTCTGTTTAGGGTTCCCTGGCCATGCTGTCTGATCTTCATTCAGAGCAGACACATCACACAATTGCATGCACTCATATGGAGGAATGTGAGTTTAGTCACTGTCATCTGAAAGTGAGTCCCACCATTTGCCTGTGTGTTCACTGATCACCCTATATAGCAAGCAAGACCACTTGGCTCTGCAGCAGGATCTCACTTCTACAGGCTTAGCACAATTCTGATCTTTCAGAGCATCTTCATCCTCTCTGTCCTGCCCAGAACTAAACGACAGATATTTTTCTAATTAGCTTCCCTACTCTGAATTATAACCACAAAAAAGACAGGAAAACTCAATGACAGGAAGTATTAAATGAATAACAGCTTACATTTTTTTCCAGGCCTGATTTTGGATGAGTCCTTGGAGTGAAGTAGTCATGTTTATGTGGTGTCTGAGAACTCCACTCTTGACAAGTCCGGCCCCTTCCAGTTCTTGCTACTGTGCCACGATAATCTATACCATTTGAATGAATGCAATCTGTGAAGAATGAGGAAAAGAAAAAAATTGTTAGCTGTCAGCAATTGGGTCATGCCAACACTTAATGGTGGTGAAGCAGAAATAAATTTGAGGAAATGCTATTTGAACTTACGTATCTTCCTTAATGTATATACATTATATAAGAAAGAAGGAAAGAAGGACAACATAGTATCAATGATAACTAGCAATCACATTTTGATTTGCTTGCATTTGCAAAATTTTCTTCATTACTATTATAGACTTAGGTCAAAGAAGCTTAGATTCACTTGACACTTTTTGACTTCAAGAGCCAGGACCACAAAGACCATGCAGTCATAAAATCTTTTCTTTATGGACATTAATGTCTACCCATCATGTTTTTCAATATGTAAATAGGTTGTAATGCACATTCAGGCAAAACTATTAATTATCAGACTGAAGAAAGTGACAGAACAAAAAATGAAAGCTGCAGCATTCTAAACATCTACTAGACAATGAAGTTGCATCTGAACTGAATTCAAAAAGCCAGCTGTCCTCTGGTGGTAAATGGAACTCAGAAAATGTGAATGCATGGCATGTGAAAAGACATTTTCAGAATATTTGCCAGCAAAATGCCATCGCTTCTATATTTGCTGTCATTGTTAATAGCACTCCCACCAGAGTGTGGTTACTATCAGTCATTTTTTTTTCCTTGTGCTTCCAGTATTGCCAGATGTAATAGATTAAAAAAAAATCCTATATTAATCTAAAATCAAATACAGAAACTATTGTATAATGTTCTATAGGAAAGTTCAGAAAATTATGAGAGTGGATAAGGTATTATGTTAAATTCTGAGATTGTTCAGGATTCTGTCTTTCATCATTCAATTCTATGATTTTTACATATAAAACATCTTTCTTGTTACAAGTGTTCCTGGGGAAAGCACAACGTCTTCTCACCAGGATTTGGTTCCAGAGTTGTCTGAGGAGGTTTTGGTAGGGTCATCTGTACATTGTCATTACATCTCTTCAGGTTGCAATACTCCCATCTCACACTTGGGTCAGTGGTGTAGCACCATGGGCGGCTATCAGCATCTGGGTTTCTGCAATAATTCTGCCTCAGGTCCCTACGAATGCAAACATATTGTATGCCTATCTGTGCCACGGGCTTGAGAAAAACTTGAAAGAACATTTTAGAAAGCAGGACTGGTACGAAGATAATGTACAATGTCTGACAGAAATCCTATTTTCAGCGTGAAGAAATCAAGAAACATTTACAGAAAATTTAATTTTGAAAGGTATTATTCGCTGTTTAAGGCATATAGTAATAATGCTGTTTACAAATCCTGATAAGTAAATGCACATTTTAATATATATCAAACCCTTTTAATTTTTCAAAAAAAAAAAAAAAAAAAAAATTTAACAGGCTTTTTGAATAAATAAATAACAAAAATTAGGAATAAGAAAATAACACATCTTCTCTACAAAGCTCTACTGAATGGCAGGCTGGGAGCCTAAGACTTAAAACTGTGAAGAATCTCATGTACAGAAACAGTTCATCTCAGTATAAGAGAAACTTTATGAAAACTCTTAATTTCTTTAAAAGTAATGTAGAAACACAATTAATTGGCATTCTAAAGCATAATAGTGATAAGTGGGGTTCATTTCAAGATGGGATTAATCGAAATACTTCCAGATTTAGAAAAAGAAAGGAAAAAAAAGGACTTTTAACAAGTATATCCCCTTCCCAACTTCAAATCATTGTTGTGTAAAGGTGCTGCAAATAAAAATGAGTTCATGAGTGATCATTCTTGAATGAAATACAGAAATAAGAAATGCACATACGCATTTGGGAAGTGTTCTGAAGTTTTATTGTGACGATGTGGTGACATTGAGTTCCAAGCTTGACATTTCTTCCCTGTGATAGTGAAAGAAGCTGTACCACGATAACTCACACCATTGCCTTGGTAGCACTCCTCAGTTGCTTGAGCTTGTTCAGGCTGATCAACAGCTGTAGTGAATAGTAGAAACCTGTTAGCATTACACAGAGTGACAGAGCAATAATACAACTGAGCAGTCACCTCAAGTTTCTTGCAACCAAACACAATGACACAGCACTTCCATACTGCAGATATCTCCTGTTGTTCTTACCAGGGCTGTCTGGCTCTTTCCCATCACAGGAAGGGATGGTGCAATATTCCCATCGAGCAGTTGCATTCGTGGTGTAACACCATGGCATCTTCTCACCATCAGGGTTTCTACAATAGTTTTCCTCTAAATTCCTGAAACAGAGAAGTTGTCTGAGAAAAGCCTCTCATGGAAACCTGATAATGGTTACGAACAAGGAGGGAATGTGTCTTGCTTCCTAGTTCACTGTTGCATTTACAGGTGAGTAACTGCTGCTGTCATTTACTGGTTCATTTACTAGATGAATAATTGCAATGCACCTGTGTTTTGGATGTGCTAAATTAGATGTCTGCTAGATGGACATACGACTTCATGCAGTACTTTGAGGCTGAGAGCAGGAAAGCAGAAACACAAGGTAAAATAATCCAGCCACAGGCAAATATCATAGTAATAATTTTCTCATTTTACTTTGCTTCACCTGAACAACGATACAGAAGGATGAACTGAAGAGGGAAAAAGATAACTAAGCAGAGCATGAAAGTCAAAAGAGGAGACGCTCATACCTAAGAAAAACAAAGTGAATAAAAAGAGGATAAACGTGTGAAAAATCAACTGAAAAAATGCAATCCCACAGGTAACGAACTCTGGTGTAACACAGGGACTTTGCACAACAGCTGAAGAAAAATGAAGTGATTCTGTGCCTTGGTACTTCTCATGGGTACTGAATAGAGGAGAGGTTACACTTACTTGCAGGGATAGTTTTCAGGAGTACGAGCATGTCTGTGAGGAAACTGAGCACTCCAGTGCTGGCAGGTATTCCCTGATTCAGTAACAGATATCTTGCCTCGATAGTCTTCTCCTCTTCCTGACAAGCACTGACGCCCTGGTGCAGATACAGGTGGGGGTGTTGCTGTTGCAGAAAGAGGAACTGAAATTATATGTGGCCTTCTAAAAATATAAAAACAACAACAACAACAACAACAAAGGCATCAAAGCACTTAAGAGCTTTAGAGTGGGGTAGGAATTTTAGCTTACAGGTAAGGTTTATAGATCAAAATGTTTGGAAAGCCCAAAATGCGGAGAAAACTTCTTTTCTCTCTTCCATTTTAACATTCAGACTCCCAGAAGGGTGTTTGTATCTGCCCCTTTACAGCAGCCAGAAACAGCACAACCAATACTAGCAGCCCCATCAGATCATAGCTGAAAAGTGAGCAAACAACACTTGTGAAGAAAACTGGGGTGAATGTGGCAGGCACATCAGTGATAGATACAGGTTTTGGTGCAAACCAAACGATGTGTACACCACCTAGTGAGAGTTAGGGACAGCAAGGATGAGGTCTGGTGAGAAGACCCAGGGGAAAAGTATTGTGGCAAGAACAGGCCCTCAGAGGAGAAGGAAATTGAACTGGAAGAGCAAAAATCCCCCTGAAAACGAAATTTTTTTCAGAATGAATGAAAATGTCATCAAAAGGGGAATACAGAAGGAGTACCAGAATCACTGAAAAATATTGTTCTGGAGAAACACATGGAGGAAGAGAGATGTGCTCCAGGAAAAAAAAAAAATTAGAAATACCGATGACAATTCTAGTCTCAAAAGAGCCATTAGAGGCTCATTTCAGGGTTATTCCTTTTCTTCCTTTCCTTCCTTTCCTTCCTTTCCTTCCATTCCTTCCTCTCCTTCCTTTCTTTCCTTTCCTTCCTTTCCTTCTTTTCCTTCTTTTCCTTCCTTCCTATGAGATAAAAGTCAAAATCTTGTATTCTTTCTTTTATTTTGGAGGCTTAATCTACCTGTTCTAGTTCTTTGCACTACTCTGAATAAAAGATGTCTTCATGTCTTTATGTCTAGAAGCCTGGAAGTCAAACTCACTGCAACGAGGAATGTCACAAAATTCCCAGCGTTTGTTCGGGTTGGTAGTGAAACACCAGGGCCGAGGTTCACCATCAGGGTTACGACAATAATTCATCTTCAGATCTTTCTCTGGAAAACTGAGCAGGAGAAATAGATTTTAAACAAGTCACTAATGGCTGGCTGTGACAATTAGCCTGTCTGTGATAAAGTGGCCTAGGGTCACCATGGTGTTAAACAACTCACTTTTCAGGGAGGTATCCATGAGAGTGAGGTTGCTGGGAGTCCCAGCGTTGGCACTCAAGCCCAGATGCTGTTGTTGCAACTACTCCATGATAGTTTTCTCCACTGCAGTGCATGCACTCCACTGTAGGAACAAGTTTAGAATGAAGACAAGAGACAGATTTCATGCGAAACTTGTCTGTAAACATTCACACTCATCTCTCTTGAAGTTCAAGAGTCTAATGAGAACACAAGGCTGAAAGACAATCATTTTTGTCAAAGTTTCTTTTTCTTGATGACTTGAACTAATTGGTTATAGTATTCTATCAAAATATATATGCTATGGAATATAGTTTCTAAAATAGATGAATTTAAACTGCTGATCTATAATTGAAAATCTGTTGTTCCTATCGACTTTTGCACTAGCAACCATCATTTGGTTCAATTCTAGGATTATGATCTGAGAATACATTGTCATTCTTTTGTCTAGGGAAATTGCTCTTGTGTAGCTGACTTGGTAGACGTATTTCTAGTCAGTGTAAAAAAACCTCTTTGGAAGGTTCCACTAACCTCAAGTTTGGAACAAATCTGGAATGAAAATAAAAATATCTCTATAACTACTCATTTTTGAACTTTGAATCTTCTAAATAAGGGAAACAAATTATGTATGTATCCTCACCTTCACATTCTGGGATGTTACAGTAATCAAATCTAGTATTAGGATCTGTTGTGTAACACCAGGGTCCTTTTTCATCATTATCAGGATTTCTGCAGTAATTTTCCTCCAGCCCTGCGTCAGGGTATTTTCCAGGTGTGTAACTGGAACAGAAGTAAAGATTAGAGAATAAGGGAAATGTCACAGTTGTTCAGTTGAGGACCCTAGAAGTGAAATCTCTCTGAGGACCATTTTGAATATGTCATTCATCAGAAGTCTCGTAATTGCTACTGAGTACCATAAGTCAAGGGTTAGAAGTGTCAGAGCAGCAGACTTCAAGAAATTTGTTGTTTTTATGGCCAGTCATGTATTTAATACTAACATTTATTCTAGATTTAGTTTCCAGTAATTTTCACTCAGCCAGGTACTTTCATTCACTCAAGTGTGAGAGTTCTCTGTGAGCAGGATGCTATGCTATGTCAACAGCAGGTTGCAAAGTAAACCTGATTGAGTGTTTTTCTTTAAATACAATAAATACTGTTCTGTTTACTGTCTATAGATTCACTGATAGAGTGATGTTGTCTGTCTCATTGGCTTCATATTATACTTTTCAGACAAGAGAAGATACTCTTGTCCTGAGACTGATGAAAAATTGTTTCAACAGAACCAACTGCTTCCCTTTCCAGCATTCTGCTCACGTAAGGATCAAAAAAGTTAAACACAAGTGCCAAGACTGAAAAGTCCCTTTGATTGTGCAGCTCCACTTATAATTCAGACTAAAGAAGGATAAGTGTAAGAAATTATTTTATATTAAGAATTTAATGAATTGCTCATAAGACTACTCAGCACATACAGTTTAGCAGAATTTCAGAAAAACATGAGCACATTTGTAAAGTCCATACTTAGGTTTATGGGGTGCAGTATCAGCCCACTTCTGGCATTCCACACCCTTCTGAGTTTTGGCTTCTGTTCCTCTGTAATCGCTCCCTCTACCTTCCTTGCATTCTAGAAGATAAACTGAAATTATACGTGCTTGATTAATTGGTATCATCACATATCCTTTGGAATTTAGCATATAAAAATATTTTTTCTTTAAAGTTAATTGTGTCATGAATGAGATTTAATTAAATCATGATAGTATGCTGAAACAATGACTCTGCAAGATAAAGAAAAGTTGTAATGGTTGAAATGTCATATTATACATGCCTTTCTACTCTTAGTTTTTGAAACTTAGTAGTCCCTTCATGGAATAAAATAAAATAAAATAAAATAAAATAAAATAAAATAAAATAAAA